CATTCCCTTATTGCAACTGAATTTCCAAAAACCGTGCGGCGCGGGAACCCGTTCAAAAACCGTTCCCGCTCTTTTCACTGTAAACGTTTCTGCCTGCATCGGTCTTGATCTGACGGTTGGTGCGTTGCTTCGGTTCTTCTGACTCCTCAGCCTCGTACTCGGTAGAGTCGGCTCCTGCAGCATACAGGAATGCCTTCTCATAAAACTTCGCATCGTAACAGATACCAAGGAAAGAATGAACACTGTGCATGAATATTTTCCTCTGTTCTACATGGCCCATATCAATTCAATTGTTTCGTTATGCCATAACGTCGCTCTGTGCATGTCATCTAATACCACCTGTTTTTATTCATCCAGCATTCCGCAGAGCCCAAAAATCGTTCCTTCCTCCCACACAACCCCCGCCACCTGACATCCCTTCCCCTCGCCACCCATTCTCCGCTCTGCTGCTTTTTCCGCCACATTCCCCCATTTCCCCAGCACTCTTTCTCCACCCCCCTCTTCTCTCCCCCTTTTCTCCGCCCACCTCCTCTTCCCCCGTCCTAACCCACCCCCTGCAACCCCTGCGGCACCAGCCACAACAGCAGCAGCGCTATAGCTGCTCCGACCGCCATTACTTGCTCTCTTTCCTGTTTCTATCAGGCTTCACGGCTCTGATCCTCCCCCACCATGGGTACGCTACCCCTCCCTAACCCTAGCTTTCGATCTTGCTTGCCGTCAGCACGCTCGACTCACTTATTCACAAGGAATGGAGAGCCTTGAGTTGATGCTGATTGGAAAACAGGTTTCGCCGCTGCATAGCAGTTTGGAGCGGTCGGAAACGGTTGAGCAGAGCGGATTTTAGTCGTGCTAGCGGATTTGGTCAATCTGCTCATATGGATGTTTACTAAGGCTGTCTAATAGGCGAGGATGGTGATTATATTGGCAATGGACGGTGTCGATCAGTCTGCGCGGTGTAGAAAGCGATGTTACGCTCGCGACGACGGTTGCATTGGGAAAAACGTTATTCAGAATGACTCGAATCATTGTCGTACTGCGCATTCCAGGCGCGAGCGTGCTCACAAGAAATTAGGGTTTGAGGCGGCCATTCGCGTAACATGAATCTAGGGGACTATATAAGCCGTGGGCTTCTCACAGGGCCGTGACGCCTTGCCGTCGCAGAGAATGTTTGAGCCCTTGTTCTAAGTTGGCTCACCTTATCTCGCTCCCTCATGTGTCTCTCCCCGCTGTTCCTGTCTCCCCTCCCTCGTGTGCCGCGCTTTCCCGTCTCCCCGTTCCCCTTTCCGGTCTCTCCGTCTTTCTGCGACCTCGCGCGTGCTCTCATGCGCGGCAGGTATCTCACGTGATTCGCTGCACAAGCGACGGGCAACAGGAGGAAAGAAGAAGCCGTGGCACAAGAAGCGCAAGTAAGCTTCTCCTCCGCTGTCTCACTCCCCCCTTCTCCCCCCTCCCCTCCCCTCTCTTCCCCCCTCTTCCCCCCTCTTCCCCTCTCCCCCCCCCTTCCCCTCTCTTCCCCCCTCTTCCCCCCCCCCGTCCCCCCCTACTCACGCGTCGCAACGTCTCAAATTAGTATTAAGTTTTTTCGCGTGTCGTCACAGTATTTCATGCGCGATTTTTGGACTGGTGAGGAAAAGCGCTCTTTGCGCGATTGTGTGATGTTGGCCAGAGCCTTGATTTTAGAGTGCCATACGGACTGAGTTAAGAGATTCGGTCTGAAAAGAGCGTTGATTCCCCGGACTGCTGGTCGCCCTTATCCCATACTGACTGGTCCAAGGCGGTCGGTCTCCCATAGAGCTTGTTCTGTGTCCCGCTAATTGCGACCGACAGGGTACCCACCTTTGTGTCCTAGCGAGTAGGGAGGATGAGGGAGGGAGGGAGAAAGGATGGAGGAGTATAGATGGAGGAGTTGGTTGGTGAACCTGCCAGTGATGATGGGGAGGAGGTTGGATTGGATTAAGGTATTCCTCAGGTCGCGGAAGGAACTTTGGGATTCGAATTTGGATGCCGCTGGTTCGGATGGATAGTCTTTGTAGTCGTATAGGTCCATGCGTGCGATTCGCAGCCGTCGCACAGTTCGAACAGGGGTCAATGGTGCACCCAGTGAGCGTGTCGCACGCGGATCCCTTCACCTCTTTTTCATTGTTCTGTCTCCTGCTTCCCATTTCCCCCCTCCCCATCGTCCTCTTTCATTCCCTACCTCTCTCCTTGCCCGTCCCACCCAACTAACCCTTCCCATCTTTGCCTCCCCCTCCCATCCCCTATCTAACCTTCCTTCTCCCCCCCTGGCCCCTCTCTCTGTCCCCTTCTCCCTTTCCCCAACCTGCCCTCTTTTCCACGTCGCGAACGCGCGCCCGCGTATCGCCAGGTATGACTTGGGTCGGCAGGCGGCCAACACAAAGCTCAGCAGTCACAAGACGGTGCGCCGGATCCGCGTGCGCGGCGGGAACTACAAGTTCCGCGCGCTGCGCCTGGACACGGGCAACTACGCGTGGGGCAGCGAGTCGGTGACGCGCAAGACGCGCATCCTGGACGTGGCGTACAACGCGAGCAACAACGAGCTGGTCCGCACGCAGACGCTCGTGAAGAACGCCATCATTCAGGTCGACGCCGCGCCGTTCCGGCAGTGGTACCAGCAGCACTACGGCGTGGACCTCGGCAAGAAGAAGTCCAAGGCCGGCAAGAAGGAGGTGCGAGACGGGGGGGGGGGGAGTGAGGGTGGTGAGAGGCGAGAGGGTGCGGGGTTAAGGAACGGTACGAGTGGTCGGTATTAAACGAGGGTGGTGGTGAGGGGCGAGAAGGTGGGGCGCGTGGGGAGGTGAAGGTTGAGGAGGAGGTGAGGGAGGGCTGGGAAAGCGGTGAAGGAACTGGCGACGAAGGGGTTAGCAGATGGGCGACGAAGGGGTTAGCAGATGGGCGACGAAGGGGTTAGCAGATGGGCGACGAAGGGGTTAGCAGATGGGCGACGAAGGGGTTAGCAGATGGGCGACGAAGGGGTTAGCAGATGGGCGACGAAGGGGTTAGCAGATGGGCGACGAAGGGGTTAGCAGATGGGCGACGAAGGGGTTAGCAGATGGGCGACGAAGGGGTTAGCAGATGGGCGACGAAGGGGCTGAGGGCCGGGCGGCGAGGAGTGGTGTGGGTCATTGCGGAACGGCAGGCTAAGGGGGGAGTTAGGTTATCTGAGAGGGGAAGGTTGGCGCGAGGGGAGGGTTTGCGGGGAGGGGAAGCGGTGGTTGATGCGCGCATGCCAAGAGTTATTGAGTGCACTCGCGTGCCAAATCAGGAAGACGACCCTAGCGCTGCTGATACCTCCTCGCTTCGGCCGCTTATCCCTCCCTCCCACCGATCATCTCTCATCCCTCCCCCACTCATCCCACGGACCCTCCATCCATCCCCCCACCCGGTGGTGCACGGCAGGGCGAGGAGGAGAAGGCGGAGGGCGAGGCGGGAGAGGAGGTGAAGAAGGTGAGTGGGCACGTGAAGCGCAAGCACGAGCAGCGCCTGGCGTCGCACAAGCTCGACCCGCACCTTGAGGACCAGTTCGCCGCCGGCCGCCTCTACGCCTGCATCGCCTCCCGCCCCGGCCAGTGCGGCCGCTGCGACGGGTCAGTCAGTCCCTCTCTCAGCCACTTGTGCACCTGCAGCCCGTGCCCTATCTGCTCTGCTTTGCCCCTCCTATTGCCTCCGTGCACTTCTGCTTTAGCACACGCTCCTTGCTGCCTACCCGCTACAAGCACACCTGCTACATACAGTGGTAGATATTGTATAGTCTTGCTGCTGACATATGGGGTTGGTGTGTGGGTTGGACGGGCAGGTACATTTTGGAGGGCAAGGAGCTGGAGTTCTACATGAAGAATCTTTTGAGACGTCTCAAAAGTAGGTATTTTAGTCTCGCCGCTGACATGTGGAGTTTGCTGTGTGGTGGTGCATGGCAGGTACATTTTGGAGGGCAAGGAGCTGGAGTTTTACATGAAGAAGCTGCAGAAGAAGAAGGGCAAGTCCGCCGCCTAGACTGCTGCGACCCCACCCCACACGTGCTAAGGACCAACGTGCAGGTTGCTTGTGGTGCTAGAGGGCAAGGCAGGCATGGAGAGCCAAGCCAGGCGTGCTGCTGCCCGTGGGGGAGAACGGCTGGACAGGGCGAAGGCAGGCCAAGGCATTGGCTAGGTTGGACAGCTGCTGTTGTATTTGTGAGATGTAACGAGGGACTCCCCCCTCTTGCAATGGTGCTCCCCTGTGTTCTCAATGTTATGCCACCAAAGGAGTTACTTTTAGCTAGTTTTTCCACAATCTTCACTAGCTCACATGTAATTGAGATTGGTCTCAGATCAGTGGTTCTCTGCAAATTGGAATGCTGAACACTGTTTCAGGTGGGATATGCAAAACCTAAATCCGCACTGTAGATGCAATGAATGAATTGCTGCCTTCCAACATTTCCTCGATTTCGTTCGAAAGAATGGGAAGCCCGAGAGCGAGCATTGGTACCGCCGCCAGGGTCAGATACAGAAACGATGACGTGGGTTTGCGCGAGTGGTTGCAAGCTTCTAGGCCGCCAGGTGGAGATTCCCCACATCCCATGCTCGCTCGTCCGTCTGTGGGTCTGGCTGTTCCCGCACCTCCCCTTCAGTCTGTCGGTCTGTCAGTCTCCCTTTTCCTGCTGCACTCGTTCATTCTACTGAACTGATGACTCGAAACTCAACTTTTCAACCTGTGCTGTTCTGTTTGTTGCTGGTGTGTTATCTCTTGTGTGTGCTCCACACACCAAGGGGTTGCACCCAGCATTTCCTCCACATTCCGTTCTTCGAGTTGACCTTCAGCCGCGAGAATTCACAACTGCTTGCTGTCAACGGGCTGTCCTGCCCAGCGCTCGTGCGTGCGCCATGCGTTAGCGTGCCTGTTCCCAAGGTCCCTCGTGTGAATGCGCCGCTTTTTCTCACTTTCTAGTCCAAACTGAAAGGGCGTACTGAACCGAGGTTGACTAGGTTTGACTGACGGCGACCATGGCGGCGTCGCACGGATTGACGGCTCTCCTTCATCGCCGCCTCGCAGACACGGCCTCTCTCGCTTCCGGATCCTCCTCGTTCTTCGTTCCCTCGTTGGATCCTAGCCTCACCCCGTCGTTATCGCACCGCCATCAACGCTCGTCCGTCGATTTCCCCTCAGATCAACAACTAGATCGCTTCGTGCCAGCTGGCACCAGAGCTGCCGCCGAATGCGGCCGCAGCCGAGGCGCCAGAGCGGGCACATGCCATGCCGTTGCTAGCGGCGGGAGTGACGGCGGCAGCGGCGGAGGTGCGAACTACGCTCGTAGCTGGCGAAACAAGGGCGAGAGCGCACGGGCTCGGGTGACTATAGCGCGGGTGGGGATTTCGATGTCAGGGCTGTCGCTTGGCGGGTCTTATAGCGGGGGCTCAGGGTCCATATCAGGCAGTGGGGAGGCGCAGCAGGGATGGCAGCAGCAGCGCCGACCGCAGCAGCAGCAAAGGCCGGGGGGGAGACGCGGGGTTCTCCCGCAAAGGCGGCCATCGGCGGAGCTGTTGTCGGAGGAACGGCGGAAGAAGGAGGTGGAGCGCGCAATGCGCGAGGCTCGGGGGAAGGGGGGCGCGGAGGGGCTGGCGGAGGCATTGCAGATAGAGCCGCCGGCGCAGCCGCAGTGGCCGTTTTGGCGGAAGAAGCGCGAGTCGAGCTCCGGCGAGGCGCGCATGCTGACGCGACGCATCGTCGAGCTGGGGAAACGGCGACAGCTGGACCAGGTAGAGAAGGGGGAGAGAGAGAATGGGACGAAGAGGATGACGTTTGAGTCGACTTAAAGGCTGGGCAACGGGCGCTAGCTGGACCAGGTAGAAGATCGTGATAGATGGAGGGATCGGAGATAGGAATCCCGGCAGTCAGGGGTTGACTAGATGGATGACCGATGGTTGACTCGATAAGAAGTAGGTGGATGAGGAATCGAGGCTGGAGAGCGGATAGATAGAAGGGATGGAGGTTAGGATGGAGGTTGTCAAGAGATATGAGGGATTGGTGGATTAAGCGTTAATGGCTGGACGCGATGCATCGAGTAGAAGGCCGACGAAGAGTAAAGCGCGAGTGTAGGTTGACCAGAGTCGAGAGGAGGGGTTGATGCGACTGCCGTTGTGCCGTGCGTCAGCTGCAGCTGTGTGCAACCTGTGACCCCGTATCCTACTCATCTGCAGTATTGGAGTCACTTTTGAGAATTCTCAGAAAGTATCCCACTCATTTGCAAATGTTTCTTAGACTTGGCTACAAACTATCGTGCGAGTCTTGAAGACTCGCATTCCGCTTGAGCGCAGGTGTTTCAACTCCTGGAGGACGCGAAGCGGCAAGGCGGTGAACATGATCACTATGAACGCCGCCATGGCTGCGTGCGTCAACTGCGGGAGTTTGAGGCGTGTACGCGCGCGTATCCCTTTCAATCGCAGTGTACCCCTCACCCCATCGCATCGCAGGTGTTTCAACTGCTGGACGACGCGAAGCGCAGCAGAAAGGCGGTGAACATGATCACGATGAATGCGGCCATGGCGGCGTGCGTGAACTGCGGCGACATCGACCGCGCGCTCGACCTCTTCGACGACATGACGGCGGACGGCGGCACGGGCGTCGACTCCATCACCTACGGCACGCTGCTGAAGGTGCGTCTCCTTGCCCCACCAGCCTTTTTTCTGGTTTTAGAGTCGCTATTGGATTAAGGTGCGTCTCTCTGCGTCGACACCTTCGGCACCTCTGCGCTGTGCTGCTTTTTCGAACACCCTCCAACCCCCTTGCGCACCTCCCCCCTCCTTTCCCTCAGGGTCTCGGTCGCGCAAAGCGGTTGGACGACGCGTTCGAGGTGTTGGAGGCGATGGAGGACGGTACGGCGCCGGGGCGGCCGGAGCTGACGGCGGTGCACCTCAACACGCTCGTGAACGCGTGCGCGGACGCGGGGGACGCTCGGCGCGCCATGAGCGTCGTGCAGCGCTACAAGCGCGCCTTTTCGGGGGCTATTGGGCCGTCCGCGTTCACCTACAACCTGCTGCTCAAGGTATGCACAATGTTCGGATGGCCATCCCCCATCCCCCGGTTACCCCCCTCGCCCGCTCACTCCCCCCGCTTCCGCCAGGGGTACGCGCGGTCGGACAACCCACTGGAGGCGGTGAGCGTGGCGGAGGAGATGCACCTGCAGGGGCTGCAGTGGGAGCGCGTCACCTTCAACTACCTCGTCCTCTCGCTTCCCCCTTTCAGCCCCCCCGTCCCTCCCTCGTTCCATCCTCATTCCCCGTTCAACCCCCCTTCCTGGTCAATCCTCATCCCCCCTCACCCCCCGCCCCCCTCCCCCTGCCCATCCCCCGCGCTTCCGCCAGGGCTATGCGCGGTCGGACAATCCTTTAGAAGCGCTGAGCGTGGCGGAGGAGATGCACCTGCAGGGGCTGCAGTGGGAGCGAGTCACCTTCAACTGCCTCATCCTCGCCTGCGTGCGCGCCGGGGATATGGACCGCGCACTCGACCTGCTGCAGGACATGAAGGTGTGTGGGGGGGGGGTGGGCGTGGGTGCAGGGGCTCATGAGTGCAGGGGGAGCAGGGGCATGAATGGTGCGTGTTGGGGGGGGGAGATTTGGGGGGGAGGTCACCTTCAACTGCCTCATCCTCACCTGCGTGCGCTGGGGATATGGACCGCGCACTCGACCTGCTGCAGGACATGAAGGTGTGTGGGGGGGGGGGGTGGGCGTGGGTGCAGGGGCTCATGAGTGCAGGGGGAGCAGGGGCATGAATGGTGCGTGTTGGGGGGGGGAGATTTGGGGGGGAGGTCACCTTCAACTGCCTCATCCTCACCTGCGTGCGCTGGGGATATGGACCGCGCACTCGACCTGCTGCAGGACATGAAGGTGTGTGGGGGGCCCTTGGGCGCGAATGTTTAAGGGGCATGAATGGCCCTGGGGATATGGACCGCGCACTCGATCTGCTGCAGGACATGAAGGTGGGGGAGGGGAGGGGAGGGATGGGCGCGGGGGGAAAGGGCGCTGGGGTCATGATGGCAGGGGACATGGGGGTCATGGGCGCAGGGGACATGGGGGTCATGGGCGCAGGGGACATGGGGGTCATGGGCGCAGGGGACATGGGGGTCATGGGCGCAGGGGACATGGGGGTCATGGGCGCAGAGGGACGTTGGCTCAGAGGGTGTTGACGCAGGGGGGGGCATGGGCGCAGGGGGACATGTAGCAGGGGCCATTGGCCCTTGTGATTATGGGGCATGGACTGCCCACACGAGCAGGTGCAGGATGTGAAGTGCCTTTTGAAGCGCCTCACAAATCGAGACAGTCCACATGCACAGGTGCAGGATGTAAAGTGCCTCAGCATCTGCTGCAGGAACTTCGCGCCGATTCCGTGTACTATGTTTGGCATGGTCTTCAAGAATGAATATGTGTGTACTCATGACAGTCACTGCCCGCATGCGCCTTGGCAGGCAGAGGCATTGAGAAGGGGCGATGACGACGTGCTGCCAGACGCCGTCACCTACACCACCATTATCAAGGTGCGCTCCTCACCTGAACCCATCACCCATGCCCCTCGTGTTCACCCTTGTCCCTGATATGCCTCTGGAGAAATCCATTTCTGCCCCTTGCCGCATACAGCACCGCCCACATGCCCGCTGCACCGCCCACATGCCCGCTCCTTTTTTTCCCCTGCCCTTTCCATCCACTTCTTTCTCTGCTCTCACCAGCTGTCATTCCCCTTTCGCTCCCCGCCTCAACCCTTTCCGCCCCACTTCCCCCCACCAGGGCCTATCAGAGGAGGGTGGCAGAGACGCGCTGAGGGACGTGGTGGCGGACATGAAGCGCGCCAGCTGTGTTAACTCGTCCACCCCACTCATTCACCCACTCCCGCTCTCCCTCCCACCCCAACCCTTCCCCCGCTTCTCACCAGGGCCTATCAGAAGAGGGCGACATAGACGCGCTGAGGGACGTGGTGGCGGACATGAAGCGCGCCAGCTGTGTGCGCAGCCCTGCCGGCCCCTCCCAGCCGCACTGCCGCGCCCTGCTTGCAGCTGAGGGGCCTTCTGGGGTGGCGGCTGTTGGGGGGGAAGAGGGCGTGAGCAGTGCTGTCATCCCCGTGACTAGCAGCAGTGCTGGCAGTGCTGTGATTGATGGCAGCAGTACGGGCAGCAGTACGGGCAGCAGCGGGGTGGCGAGCAGCAATCCGCTGGTGATGGACCGAGTGGCGTACACGGCCATCATTGACGCCTTCGTCGCTGTCGGCTCGCCTGAAGGTGCTTGTGTGCGGTGTATGCGTGTGTGGTGGTGTGTACGTGTATGGACGTGTGCGTGTGTGTGCATGTATGGGTGTTAGCAGCAGCACTGGCAGTGCCACCTCTAGCAGCAGCAATCCGCTGGTGATGGACCGAGTGGTGTATACGGCTACCATTGATGCCTACATTGCTGTCGGCTTGCCTGAAGGTGCGTGTGTGGCGGTGTGTGCGTGTGTGGTGCTGTGTGCGTGTGTGGTGGTGTGTGCGCGTGTGGTGGTGTGTGCGCGTGTGGTGGTTTGTGTGTGTGTGGTGGTGCGTGAGCGTGTGGTGGTGTGTGAGCGCCAGTAAGAGTCAGTGCCACCTCTAGCAGCAGCAATCCGCTGGTGATGGACCTAGTGGTGTATACGGCTATCATTGACGCCTTCATTGCTGTCGGCTCGCCTGAAGGTGCGCGTGTGGGCGGTGTGTGCATGTGTGCATGGGTGCGTGTATGCATTGGTTGCTTGGGGTCATGGGGGCATGTATGCATGAAGGTATGGACGGGCTTTTCTTCACTGAAATATGCATCCCCCATCTTCATCCCCATTCCCAAGCCACCCACCCAGATCATGCACGCCATGGGCACATGTTCTCTCCTTATGCGCACACTGGTTTTGAGGCTCCTCAAAACTAGGCACATGTTCTCTCCTTATGCGTTGCGTACACTGCTTGCCACTGCATCCCTCCTCCTCTCCACTCGCCCCGACACCCACCGCCTTCCCTTCCCCCTCCCATGTCGCCTCTCTCTCGCCCACTCGGCCTTTGCCTCCCAGACGCGCTGCAGTGCATGGCGGAGGTGGAGGAGCTGGGGAGAGCGGGTCACTCCATGCGGCTGCAATGGCTTTGGGGTCGACTCAAATTCTCCACCATCCCCATGCCCTCCCCCTCTCCCCCCCCCAGACGCGCTGCAGTGCATGGCGGAACTAGAGGAGCTGGGGCGGGCGGACAGAGGCATGCGGCCACGGGCGCATGTCTTTCTCTCCCTCATGCGCTCCCTCGCTGCTGCTGGCGACCTGCCGTCCACGCAGCAGCTCGCCGGCCGGCTGGTGCGCGACGCGGGCGGCAGAGTGTGGCCGGAGGAGCGGGCGGAGGCGGCAGAGCTGGTGCTGGAGGCGGCCACCCGCGCGGGCGAGGTGAGCTTTGAGTCGCCTCACTACAGACCCATGCACTAGGCGCCTCACTACAGACCCATGCACTAGGCGCCTCACTACAGACCCATGCACTAGGCGCCTCACTACAGACCCATGCACTAGGCGCCTCACTACAGACCCATGCACTAGGCGCCTCACTACAGACCCATGCACTAGGCGCCTCACTACAGACCCATGCACTAGGCGCCTCACTACAGACCCATGCACTAGGCGCCTCACTACAGACCCATGCACTAGGCGCCTCACTACAGACCCATGCACTAGGCGCCTCACTACAGACCCATGCACTAGGCGCCTCACTACAGACCCATGCACAGACCCATGCACTAGGCGCCTCACTACAGACCCATGCACTAGGCGCCTCACTACAGACCCATGCACCAGGCGCCTCACTACAGACCCATGCACTAGGCGCCTCAGGGATAGGCTCACCAGGAAAGTTTGGAGATGTCTCAAAACGAATTCACTCCTTCATCACTTAAAACCCGCAGGCCAAGAAGTTTAACCTTAGGAAGGTTGGTTGGGGCGAGCAATACAATTGGCCAAGATTATTGGTGTCAGGGCCAAACTAAACCGAAGTTAGGAAGGTTGGCCAATTTAGGCCTTCTTGGCCCTCCGGTTCTAATAATCCGAAGCGTATACAGGAGAATACCTGGCAATTTCCAAGATGCAAGGGTAGCATTGACCGCCATGTCCCCCCTCCATGTCCCTCTCCTCCATCAGATGGGTGTGGCAGCGCGGCTGTTGGATCAGATGGAGGCTATGCACGGGCACCAGCTGCGCATGTCCCTGCGCGGCATGCAGGTGAGCGCGCATGCAGTTAGGGGCGTGCGGGTGGGGACTGGGCAGGAAGTGAAGTGGAGAGACTGTGTCACGGCAGGTCGTTCCATGCATGCATGGAAGTAAATACGGTTTCACAGCCTTGCTCTATCGGAACAGCAACTTCCGTTCTTTCACCTGTTGCATGCCATGTCCATGGCAACGGAAAAGAGATCAGCTGTTGTTGGCATTTGTTGACTGCTGTTGACGCTGGTCAAACTCTGTCGACTGTTTCCGTTGACTCGTGTTGACCGCTGTTATGGAATGTTTCATTCCTGTTGGCTCGTGGCAGGCGGTGGTGCAGCTGATGGCAGCAACGGGGGCGGGCTTTGAGCGCTTCACGCCCATCGGCATCAGACAAGAGGTGCCCAAAACGGTGCTCCTTCCACTCTCTCTCTCTCTCTCTCTCCATTCTTCACCCCATCTCTTTCACACCTCCACACAGTCTCTCTCACTTGTCCACAGTCTTCCACTCCTCCGTAACGGTCTCTCTTTCACTCTTCCACACACATACACTTGCCCATTCTATCCCCCGCCGTCTCCCTTCCCTTTTCCCCTCTCGTTTTCCACTTCAAGCCCTGTGTGGCTCCCCTGTGTTACTAGCCCCACCTATTCTCCCAGTTGGCCTTTTCATGAGTTCTTGTGGGAAAGGAGGTGGGGTTGGGAGGGGGGAACTCATTGTGGGCTGGTCTGTGCATATGTTCTGTGGAGCGGTTGATGACTGTTGAAAATCCAGCAATTTTTTTCCCTGCAGACCCCCCTGTCTCACCCGCCCTCTAAGGCTGTGTTCTGCACATCTCCACCCACTATCTGGGACCCACCCTCCAGTCTTGATTGGCAAACCTTTGAACCAACCCACTTCCCTCTCTATTTTTCTCCCTCCTGTTTCCTTGCTCTTCATGCCCTTGTGCCTGCCAGCTGTCGCTGCGTGATACGGTGCAGTCTGTCATGGTTCCCCTGGCTGACGTGGCAGTGGCCCACCCTGACCAGTCACTGGCGGAGCTGAGGTCAGCATGGCCAGATTTGATGCCTGCTGACGTCATCCCAGTGATCAACGGTGCTGATGAATGCGTGGGCGTTCTGAGAGTACCAAACCATGCTGTGGTGAGTCGCACATGGGTCACATGCCATGGCTCGTTGTCAAAGCATATGGGTCAGATGCTAGTGTCAACGTTCATAAGCATCATATGCCATGGTAACTTCTCCGAACCTTCACGTATCATGAAGGCATTTCAGAAATCACCCCAGCTCACCTGCCCTTTCCGCCATCTTTCTTCCATCCACACACCCATCAAAAGTTTCACTTCACCACAATTCCATTTCCCCTCCCTTTCACCCTTCCCACTCTTCTCCCCCCCAACCCCAGGACCCCACAACCCTTATCATGCACCTCATGCTGCCCCCCCCGCCCTCGCTCTCGTGCCTCTCCACCGTCTCCGAAGCCGCTCTGCTCCTCTCCTCGTGCCGCACGCCCCTGGCGGCGGTGGTGGCGGGCAGTGCACGCATGCGCTATGGGCTCGCCAAGGAGGCGGTGCAGAGGGGCGCGGGGGAGGAGCGGCGCGTGGTGGGGTTTGTGCGTGCTGAGGCCGTGTTCGAGGGGCATGGCGGGTGCTGGTGGCACTCTGGGGAGCAGAGGGAGGAGGGGGATGTTGTGGAGGAAGTGGCTGCTTTGGAGGGTGGTGATGTGCCCCTTGGTGAAGCTGATGGTGGGGAATTTGGAGGGAGCAGCAGCGATTCTGACTCCCTTTGTAGTTGCGTGAAGGCAGCTTGAAGTTATGAAAAAAGGCTTGTTTGTTTCCTAGGGTGCTTGGATGAGTTGTGTGCTGGACTGGAACTGTGACAGGCACAAGAAACCCCTGTAATAACGTTGGGGTTTTGTTGAAGTAAAGGATTCCATTGAAAATCAGAAGTATGCACAGTCTGAATAGCAAGTGGCAAATGTGGCTGTCAGCTATTGTGTTGCATTGTGGGTTTGGATAAGTGAAGCAAAACGAAAGTGCGCGATTGTACGTCATCAGCTACAGTAAATTGGGGCAGTTATTGTCACAGTGTAAGGAATTTTCTCAGCATTCCTTACTGAGCCCGACTACATCGCGTACAGCAACAGCCGTTGTTCGCCCGTTACTGCTAACGAGACTTCGCCAACTTCGCGCGCACTGTTTTGCCAAACCTCGCACTGCTGGCCCGGCCGTGTCGGCCTACGCTTCGGGACTAGCCCGAGCCTCGCTGCCAGCATAGCACTAGCATTACCGTTTGCATGTTTCGCGTATAAATGTTCGCTCATGCCTTCGCTCACATCTTTGTACTCGTTTGACACCTTAGTGCAATTCTCGCTACTTCGATTCATTGCACCCGTAACACTTGGTATTCAGAGCCCCTTTCTTTCGGACCGTGCATCTCCGCACCCCAGGAAATCAACTTTTGATTTTTCACTCGAAGGGACTCACGTACCTTAGCACCTAGGAGCCGCTGTCCTCGCGTTCTCTCGTAAACGCGTGCAGCCACGATTGCGCCCAGACTAAGACGAGCCGACGCCCTTCGAAATGGTTGAACACATCGACGTCACGACTCTCACGTAGGAGCACTTGAATGATCTGTTGCGACAAATCCGCGAGAGCGCCGAGGAAATTGCGACGCTGACGGCAGAACACTCGTCCCTGCAAAACGACCTCACAAGAGCACAATCCCAAGCACCTGTCACTCCGATTCAGCCCGCACCACAAACATCACAGCACGGAAGTGTGGGGCAACTCGCGAGCGCCGCAAGTGATGGCGTCGTCCGCCATGACGGAGACGACGACTACGGCACGAAACACCCCGACGCGACGAATGCGGCCAGGACTCAACCTCAAGTCACGATCTCAGTGCCGGCCGGCGGATCAACTCTTCCGTCGCCGATGCCGCTAAAGCCGCAGCGTCTGCCATGTTTTGACCCAAGTCAACGGTGACAAAATTAGAAGAAAAGAAGGGTTTGAACTAGCAAGAATGAGGATACAAATAGCAAACCCTAGAAGGGTTGTACTCGCTATAGAGCACCCCACTACAGGCTAGAACATAAGATAACATTCTGACAAGCGGGGTGGTCCTACCAGTCAGGCGTGGCTCTTCACGTTGAACGTTTTCTTCGACGCGAACTACGTCTCGGAGGATACGGCGAAGATTCATTACGCCGTGTCGTTGCTGCGAGGACCCGCCATGGACTGGTGGCGCGTCATCGTCACGAAGCCGGTGGACTACGCGACTCTACCGGCATGGGAAGGACAAACCGGACCCTGGGCGCTGTCGTATTTCGTGGAGGTGCCCCAGTATCGCACGTGGGACGCGTGGTGCGCAGGTCTGCACGCTTGTTTCGAGCCAATCGCGGCTTCGATCACGGCGCGACAGAAGCTCCGCACTTGGCGCCAACTCGGTTCCGTCCAAGACTACACGAGCAGATTTCTGGCGCTATGCGAGCAGGTGGGATATATGCACGAGAGTGAGTGCATCGACCGCTACATCGGCGGCCTGAAGCAGGAGATCGCTCAAATCCAACTTCGCGGCGTCACCGACTTTCAAGAAATTCTCGCTATGGCAGAGAAACTCGATTTCTTCCGTCGACCGAGACCGGGGTCCTACGGAAGCAGCCATTGGGGACATCGGCCTCGTGGGACGAACGAGGGCGCCACGATACGTGCCGTCACCGCAAATGCCGCTGTCGCACCATTCAAAGGGCGTTGCTTTGCGTGCAATCGGCAGGGACATCGCAAGAGCGAATGCCCAGAAAACACTAAGGGAAAGGGGGAAGCTGAGCAGCAGAAGCAGTCCAAGCAGCAGGGAAACACTGGGAGTCGGTAGCAGACGGGCCCTCTACTGAAAGGTCACGCCGCTCGCTCGACCCAACCGACCCTCACCAAGTGATTGTGCCGGTTCTTGCAATGGACCACACCCGACCGAATAAGGAGGGTACTACGGTAGACAGCCCCATACTGCTTAGTGGGAAAATCGGGACAGACTTAGTAAAAATCTTTGTAGACGGGGGAGCCAGCCACAGCCTCATCAACACTGCCACAACACGAAAACTGCGACTGTGACTGGACAGATGTTTACCTGAGATCGACGCAAGACTGGTAGACGGCACGCCGCTGGCAATACGGGAACGCTTAGACCGGGTTCGAATTCGATGTGGGGGTAACTTCACGTTTAGCCAGGAAATGCTCGCGACGACCCTCGACGGAACCGATATTTTACTCGCCCGTGATTGGCTGCGACGACACAACCCGCGAATCGACTGGACGACGAAGACTGCACCGTGCGAGTGAACGGTAACAACATCGTCTTACCTCGCTGGGGCTCACCTGAGTCTTTGTCGGTGCGGGTCAACGCGATCACGATGAAACGCGCCGTAGCGGTAGGAGTTAACGTGTACGCAGTCGACATTCGGGAAGCCGAGGTAGCAGACAAAGGAGGGGATTTACAGAAACTGCTAGCCGACGTACCGAGTGATCCGGCAGCATTGTTGAAGCAGTACAGCGACATTTTCCCGGACGATTTACCGACGGGACTGCCACCTCAGCGACCGCACGACCACACGATAGAGCTAGAACCGGGGGCACAACCAACAGTACAGTGACAGTTCCGACTGACCCAGCCCGAACTGGACGAATTGAGGAAGCAGCTCGATTACCTGCTCGAGAAGGAGTTCATTCGCCCTAGTTTGTCACCGTTCGCAGCACCGATACTGTTCACACCAAAAAAGGACGGGGGATTTCGCATGTGCATAGATTACAGAGCACTGAACAGGGTTACCATCAAATCCCGTTACCCCATCCCGCGAGCCGACGAACTGATCGACCAACTGCGCACAGCCCGGGTTTTCTCGAAAATCGACCTCCGAGGGGGTTACCACCAGATTCGCGTCAATCCGCCCGACTGCCCTAAGACCGCATTTCGAACACGCTACGAATCCTTCGAATACACCATCATGCCCTTCGGACTGACCAACGCCCCCACCACTTTTCAAATGACCATGAACGAAGCCTTCCGCCCGCTCTTAGATAAGTGCGTCATAGTATACCTGGACGACATACTGATTTACAGCCCGGACAGAGCACAGCACTTGCAGGACATTGAAGCAGTTTTTAAAATACTGAGTGAGAACCGCCTACTGACAAAAGCGTCTAAGTGTCAGTTTTTACAGGACCGCCTGAAATATTTGGGACACGTTGTTTCAGCCGTAGGAGTGGAAATAGACCCGAAGAAAATTGCGACGATTCAAGCATGGCACGCACCGACCAACTTGACCGAGTTGCAAAGATTTTTGGGGTTCGTCAACTACGTGCGCCGGTTCGTCCCCGACATGGCGAAGCTGACTGCCCCGCTGACGGACCTGCTGAGGAAGGGGGTTGAGTACACGTGGGGGGAGAAAGAGCAAGCTGCCTTCTCGGCCCTCAAAAACATTTTGTGCTCACCGCCCGTGCTTCACATCGCAGACCCACACCGTCCGTTCGAGCTCGTCACTGACGCAACTGACATCGTTGTGGGAGCAGTACTGTTGCACGATTTTGGGAACGGCCTCCAGCCAATCGCGTACGAGTCCCGCAAGCTGCACCCGCCCGAACGCAACTACCCGATACACGACCGCGAAATGTTGGCGATCGTGCACGCGTTCAAGGTTTGGCGGTGTTACCTGATTGGCACCGACGTGACAGTACGGATAGACTGTCGAAATATAATTGACATATTTTATAACTGCTTGTAGTTGTAGTGTAGTTATTGTGCTTTGTAGGTGGTGCACCAATTTCATTTGTTTCCTATGCTATATGTTCCTTGAACCTATAGTGAAACCCATCTTTTCTCCTTTCCAACTTCCTAGATCCTCTCACCCTTGCCCCAACTCACTCGATACCTAAGTTGGGCCTAGGCTCCTAAGCCTAGGCCCTAGTTAAAACTTAGCTCACTCTCGCTTATTTTGACATGGATTCAGAGCACGTTTCGATCTGGCCTGTGTGGGCCCGCCTTAAGCTTCCGCTGCTACTTTTCCGGTCGCGCGCCTAGGGCGCGTGGCGATTTTCTTCTAGTCCCGCCCCCGGTTGGCGTGTGACTCTTTCTCTGCCCGTCGCGCGCCCCGTGGCACACGACGGTGCCCTAAACCTGCCCGTCGTACGCCCCGTGGCACGCGACGGTGCCCTGCTCGTCGTGCGCCCCGAGGCACACGAACGGGCCCTACTCTTAAACTTACCCGTCGTGCGCCCCTTGGCACGCGACGGGCCTTTCCGCACCCGTCCTCACTGCAGCCGCCCCTGACCTACCTGCGCCAACATATAGTAGCCGCTCTGCGGCTTTCTTCCCGCCCACCCCCCTCCTCCTTTGTCTCCCTGCAGCCGTGGGGAGGAGGGTATGGGGGTGGCGGGTGTTGGAGTTTTGGGTCATTTCCTTCCCTTCCCCTCCTCCTCCTTTCGTTCCCATTGCTGCAGCTGCCGCTGGGGGGGAGGGTGTGAGGGTGTGGGGGAGAAGGGGGATTGGCACCGAGGTGGCGGGTGTGAGGCAACCAGCACCCGTCCCTCCACCTCTCCTCTTTCCCCCCCCTCTCTGCTGCTCCTGCAGCAGTGTGGGGGAGGGGAAGGAGGAGGGTGAGGAGATGGAGTGGGTGACCATCCAGAGTTAGCCCGCCTGCAGTACCTGCTGTTGCTTGTTATTTTGCATGGTGTACCCCCTCAGGGGGCGTAACTATACTTCTACCTACAAGCACTTATGGGGGCGTGTCGAAATATAATTGACATATTTTATAACTGCTTGTAGTTGTAGTGTAGTTATTGTGCTTTGTAGGTGGTGCACCAATTTCATTTGTTTCCTATGCTATATGTTCCTTGAACCTATAGTGAAACCCATCTTTTCTCCTTTCCAACTTCCTCGATCCTCTCACCCTTGCCCAAACTCACTCGATACCTAAGTTGGGCCTAGGCTCCTAAGCCTAGGCCCTAGTTAAAACTTAGCTCACTCTCGCTTATTTTGACATAGACCACCGATCACTACAGTACCTACGCGCCCAACCAAACCTCAATCCGCGACAGATTCGCTGGTTGGACTACCTCGAGTCCAACTTCCACTACACTGTTACGTACAAGAAAGGCGCCTCCAACATCGCCGACGCACTTACTCGCCCTAACGCCCAACTCCATGCCATCCTACTCGTCCAAACCAACCCGCTTTTAACAGGCCTATTCACCCACGGATACCGCACCAACCCATTTTTCACGACCGGAAATTCACAGCAACTGGCAGAAGCTAAAGGAGTTTACTACGTAAAAACAGGCACAAACCGCATCTGGGTACCCGCGTACTCACTACTGAGGGAGCTGCTACTGCAGGAGGCACACGACGTGATTACCTCGGGACATTTTGGGGTAGAAAAAACGCGACAGCAACTGCAGCGGTATTACTACTGGCCGGAGCTGTTGACCAACGTGCAGCAGCACGTGGGCTTGTGCCCCACGTGTCAGGTAATGAAGAGCTCGAGGAAGCGGAAGGCGGGTCAATTGCAGCCGATACCACCGCCCGAGTGCGCCTGGCAGCAAGTTACCATGGACTTTACCTTCGAACCCTGGGGGTAACGACGCGGTGATGGTCGTCGTGGACAGGTTGACGAAGATGGCATACTTCGCTGCGTGCAAAAAGTCGATCTCAGCCGAGGAGACCGCTCGTCTGTTCATCGCAGCCGTTGTTCGCCTGCACGGGAGACCAGCAACGATTATCAGCGACAGGGACACGAAGTTTACCAGCAACTTCTGGAAGAACCTCTGGGAGCAGTTCGGGACCAGGCTACAGTTCAGTTCGTCGTACCACCCCAAGACCGACGGTCAAATGGAGCGGACGAATCAGACGATGGAGCAGTTGATTCATGCCATGTACGATGACCCCACGACTTGGGAGCAGCAGCTGCCGCTGATTGAGTTCGCGTACAACAACGCCACGTCAGCGACCACGCAGCAGTCCCCCTTCTACCTGAGCTACGGGCAAAATCATACAGTGCCCATGACGCCGAGTCCGGACAACCCAACACCAGGTGTACAGCAATTTGTCAAAATTCTGCAAGTTGCCCGCACTAGAGCCGCAGAAGAAATTAAAAAAGCGAACGTCATCGCTAAGCGCAATGCTGACCGCCACCGCCGCCCAGTCACATACCAGTCAGGGGATTACGTATTGCTCGACACGCAAAATCTGCGACTGCCCACGTACCAAAACTTCGACCGCGCTATTGTGGCCCATTCCAAATCAGCCACATGATCACACCAGTAACCGCGCACCTACTGTTACCGACCAACTGGTACATCAACCCTTCGTTCCACGTCAGCTTGCTTCGCCCATACATCCCAACCACAAGCCAACTGCCTCGCCACCGCCCGCCATCCATGACCCGCCCTGCATCGGAGCCGATCATCGAGCCCGAAAAAATCCTGAGCCACCGGATTCGCTGTCAGAACATATAGCTTACCTGTTTGTGTAGGCTACAGTGGGGTATCCCATAAGGGGTACAACACAATTAGGTTTCCCTTTTGTACCAATTCCTGACTCAGTCATTTCATTCCTGTTTACCTATCTTCACATGGTATAGAGCGGGTCCCTCTTAAGGACCGATTTTTTTTTGGGCCCACCCACGATATTCTCTCTGCCCGGAGCGCCCTACTCTCCCCGAGGCGCGCTCCCCCCCCTCCCCCCTTAGTGCATTTCCCGCTGCCTTTGTGGGCCCCCCGCGAGTAGCGCGCGAAAATTTTTTTTTAGCGCACGCGGCTCGGGCCCACGTCGCGCGGGCTTTACGGCCGCGCCGCGCCGCCCTCTCGGCCCGGCTGTGCCCCGCCGCCCTCGAATCGGCCACGCGGCCGCTTCGTCGCGGCCGCGGGCCCCGTTTTTGACGGCCCCGCCGTCCCTTTTTTTTACGGCCCGCCGCTGCATTCTGCCGGCCCCGCCGTTTCCTGTCACGGCCCCGCCGTCCCCTCTCCCGGCCTCGCCGCTGCACCTTCCCGGCCCGCCGCTGAGCCCTGACGGCCCGCCGCTGCACCTTTTGACGGCCCGCCGCTGCACCTTTTGACGGCCCGCCGCTGCACCCTGACGGCCCGCCGCTGTACCTGCTGACGGCCCGCCGCTGCACCCTGACGGCCCCGCCACTGCACACCCGGCCCCGCCGTCCCCTGTCCCGGCCCGCCACTGCACCTGTCCCGGCCCACCGCTGCACCTGTCCCGGCCCGCCGCTGCACCTTTCCCGGCCCGCCACTGCACCTGTCCCGGCCCCGCCGGCCTCTGTCCAGGCCCCGCCGCTGCACTGCAGCCGGCCCGCCCAGCAGCAGCCGAGCCGCCCAGCAGCAGCCGAGCCGCCCAGCAGCAGCCGGACCGCCCAGCAGCAGCCGAGCCGCCCAGCAGCAGCCGGACCGCCCAGCCGCAGCCGAGCCGCCCAGCAGCAGCCGAGCCGCCCAGCAGCAGCCGGACCGCCCAGCAGCGGCCGAGCCGCCCAGCAGCACCCGAGCCGCCCCACAGCTGCCGAGCTGCCCGGGAGTCGATCCGCCTTTCTGCTGAGCTGCACGACTTGCCCTGCCTGGTGAGCACAGTCCCTCTGTCACTGCGCCCTCTTTCCCTACTGCTTGCACTGCTTCGCTGTCGTCATCATGGCCACCCCTAGTGTCCTAGCCTTTGACGCCGAGGGTCGAGCCATTGATTTTGAGGTCTGGCTAGACGACCTGCAGCTTTTCTTACAGTGCGACAGAGCTGACAGCCTTTCTCTCTTTGACCTCACCTCTGGCGCCTCTCCTGCTCCTGCTGCCGATGCTGATCCCACTGTCCGCTCTCAGTGGGCCACCCGCGATGCTGCTGCACGTCTTGCTGTGCGTCGCCACCTCCCTACCTCTGAGCGTGCGCACTTTAGTCAGTACAAGAGTGCTCAGACCTTGTACGACGCTGTAGTTGCGCGCTACTCCTCCCCTGCCACTGCTGCACTGAGCCGTCTCATGCTTCCCTACCTCTTTCCTGACCTCTCTGTCTTTCCCACTGTCACTGACCTCATTACGCACCTCCGCACTAGTGACACTCGCTACCGCGCCGCCCTTCCTGCTGAGTTCTGCGCTAAGAACCCCCCCCCCATGTACATCACTCTCTACTACGTAGTCGCGCGCCTCCCTGACTCCCTCCGCGTAGTCAGGGACCACTTTCTCGCAGTCTGTCCCACCACTCTCACCGTCGACCTCCTCGAGAAGGCCCTCCTCGCAGCGGAGAAGAGCATAGTCGCTGTAGGTGCCTCTCGTGGTGACCCTCGCACCCCCATCTTTGAGGGGTGCTCTCCTTCCCCCTTGCTGCCCTCTGTTGCCTCTGCTGCTGCGGCCGACCTGCTTGGTCTTGAGTCGGTCGGCGCGGCGTCTGCCCCTAGTGGGAGACGTCGCTCTAGCAAGGGCAAGGGGGGCAAGGGCGCGGGCGGAGCTGGAGGGGGCGGTGGCGGTGGCGGCGGAGGCGGCGGAGGGAGTGGGGGTGGCGGCGGGAGTAGTGGTGGTGGTGGTGGTGGTGGTGGCAGCAGCGGCGGAGACGGTAGTGGTAGTGCCAGCGGTGGTGGTGGAGGCAGCAGCGGGAGCGGAGGCGGTGGAGGTGGAGGCAGTGGAGGCGGCGGCGGAGGAGGCGGTGGTGGTGGAGGAGGTGGAGCTGGTCGTGGTGGTACCCAGCAGCGGAGCGGCGGTGGTGGTGCCCAGCGCTCGCAGCGGCAGCAAGCAGCAGCGTTCGCAGGGACATCCCTCCGCCTCAGCAGCTTCGTGAGTGGTACGCTGCGCGTCAGAGGGGTGGGGGTACTGGTCCCTGCGCCTACGTTCTTCGTTCCAGCGACCGCGCGGGTGAGCAGTGTGGGGGTGCCCACTCCACCCAGCGCTGCTTTGGCCGCCTCACGGACGCTTGGCGTCAGCAGTTCCCCGGGGCTAGTGAGATCCCTCGCTGGGATGAGCTCCTTAGGGCTGGTGTAGCGATCTTTGATCTTGATTTTGATGCTATCCTTTCTGCTATGTATGCTGTGACTTATAGTGAGGAGAATGAGGGTTACCGGTGTTTCCAGCCCGACCCGGGCATTGGTACTGCTGCGCTAGGTACTTGTGAGGCTGCTGCTCTAGGTGCCAGTGCGTCTGCGCTCTCAGGTACTAGTGAGACTGCGCTCTCAGGTGCTGGTGAGACTGCGCTCTCAGGTACTGCGTCGCCCTCGTCCTCCCTCACTTTCACACTTGACTCTGGGGCTTCTCGCTCCTTCTTTCGAGACCGCACTACCCTTACGCCTCTTGGCCGGCCGGTTGCGGTCTCCCTTGCTGACCCCTCTGGGGGTCCTGTCCTGTCTCACTTCTCCACTGTCCTCCCGTGTCCGGCTGCCCCTTCGGGCACCCTGTCCGGTCTGTACCTTCCCTCGTTCTCTACGAACTTGGTGAGTGGTGCGGACCTACAGGATGCGGGGGTTCACCAGTTCACTCCTGCGAGGCGACGGGTGACCCACTGCACGGACGCAGACACAGGCCGACACCTGGCCACGTTCTCGCGTCGGCCGGGGTCGAGTCTCTACACCCTGACCACTTCGTCTCCTCCTGTCCCTGCGTCTGGTCGGGTAGCTGCGTCAGGTCAGGTGTTTGCTGCTGCTTCCCGGTCAGGTCCTGAGTCTGCCCCCTGTTCTTGTCGCCTCCTGTCTCACGAGACTCTCCTGTGGCACCACCGTCTTGGCCACCCCTCCTTGCCCCGTCTTCGGAGCATGGCTTCCCGTGTCCTTGTCTCTGGTCTTCCCCAGTCTCTCCCTCCTCTCCCCTCCGGGCCAGGACCTTCCTGTGTCCCCTGTGTCGAGGGTCGCCTCCGGGCTACTCCTCACTCCTCCCACTTCCCCCCGACAGAGGCTCCCCTGCAGACGCTTCACATGGATGTGTGGGGCCCAGCCCCCGTCCGTGGGCAAGATTACGAGCGCTACTTCCTGTTAGTGGTTGACGACTACTCGCGTTACACCACAGTCCTCCCCTTGCGCAGCAAGGGTGCGGTCACTGAGGTGCTGATCGACTGGATCCGCGAGGCTCGTCTCCAGCTCAGGAAGAGCTTCGGCTCGGACTTTCCTGTTCTGCGTCTGCACTCTGACAGAGGCGGAGAGTTCTCTTCTCGCCTTCTGCGAGACTACTGTCGTGCACGGGGGATCCGCCAGACCTTCACGCTTCCGGACTCCCCACAGCAAAATGGGATTGCTGAGCGCCGCATTGGCATGGTCATGGATGTCGCTCGTACGTCCATGATGCATGCGGCTGCCCCCCATTTTCTGTGGCCGTTTGCTGTGAGGTACGCGGCGCATCAGCTCAACCTTCACCCCCGGGTCTCTCGGCCTGCGATGTCCCCAGTCTTGCTGTGGACAGGGAAGGTTGGCGATGCGTCTGTGTTCCGTGTCTGGGGATCTCGGGCGTTTGTCCGCGACTTGTCTGCAGACAAGCTGTCCCCCCGTGCTGCTCCCTGTGTCTTCCTTGGCTTCCCCATTGACGCCCCAGGGTGGCAGTTTTACCACCCCTCCTCTCGTCGTGTTCTGTCCTCCCAGGACGTCACGTTCGACGAGTCAGTCCCCTTCTACCGTCTCTTCCCCTACCGCACTCCTTCCCTCCCCCCTCCCCCGGACTTCCTTGTGCCGGTTCCCCCCCCGGTCGACCCCCTCCCCCCTCAGGTTCCTGCCCCCTCAGGTGTGTCCCAGGTAGACGCCGTTGACCCGGTCGAGGTTACTGGTGACTCTGGTGCTGCTGCGGGTGCTGAGCCTGGGGGTACTGACTCTGGGGGTGCTGACCCTGAGGGTGCGGGGCCTGGGGGTGCTACTGCTGGGGGTGCTGGGCGTGGGGGTGCTACTGCGGTGGGTGCGGAGCCTGGGGGTACTGGGCCGGGGGGTGCTGTGCCTGGAGGTGCTGAGTCTGGGGGTGCTGAGCTGGGAGCTGCTGGGCCTGAGGGTACTGAGCTGGGAGCTGCTGAGCCTGGGGGTGCTGCGCCTAGAGTTGCTGAGCCTGGGGTTTCTCCTGCTGCTGCGTCTCGCCGGGAGCCCCTCTCTCCACCGGAGCTGCGCGAGTGGTTCGCTCGCCGCTGGAGGCGTGCTGCTGAGTCTGGAGGTGCTGCTGGAGCTGGAGCTGGAGCTTCTTCGACCGTCGAGGGTGCGAGTGCTGCTGGTCTCGGAGCTGCTGGACCTACTGGTCCTCCTGGAGCTGGAGCTGCTGAGGGCGTTGGTGCTGAGCCTGCTGCTGTTGGACCTGCCGCTGGAGGTGTGGGTGGCGCTGGTGCTGTCGCTGAGGGTGCTGGTACTGTCCCTGCTGAGTCTGGAGCTGCCGCGCGGCCTCGGCCGTACTTCGTTCCGCTCCTGCAGCAGGTTCTTGGTCTTTCTCCTCCTGTAGAGGGTCCACCGCCTGTCCAGTCGCAGTCCCTACTGGAGCCTTCCTCTCCGCTGCCTGCTCCCTCTCCTTACACTGGTCCTACTGGAGGTCTTGCTGAGCGTCGTGAGCCTGCGTCTCGTCCCGCGTCGCCTGTTCGTGCTGCTCGCGCTAGTGGTCGCAGTTCGCGTCAGCGTCCTCCTCCTGTCCCTGGCACGCACCGGATGTCTCTGCGTCCGTCCACGGCTCCTCTGCGTGCCCCTTTGCCTTCTCCTCCTGAGTCCTCTCTTCCTGCGCTTGCCGACCCTGAGTCGGACTCTCTTCGCGCTGCCAGTCCTACTGTCACGCGTCTGCTTGCTACTGTCGTCACTGACCCCTCGTTTGAGTCCACTGCTGCGTCTGCTCTGGTCGCTGAGCTCGTTGACTTTGCTGCTCGCTGTCGTCTCGACTACGCTGCTAGTCTTGTTGCTGAGTCTGTGTCTGGCTGTCCTCCGTCCGTCGGGGGTGAGTGTGCTCTTGGCACGGACGTCCTAGAGGACAGGCAGGAGGAGTTACAGTGTCTAGCGGCTGCTTCACCTCATCTCGCGTCTGTACTGCTTGCCCCTGAGGGAGACCCGGATGCACTAGACATCCCGACTCCGCGTTCTTACGCGGAGGCCGTAGAGGGTCCCTACTCCTCTCAGTGGCAGGCAGCTATGGATGCAGAGATGGCTTCCTGGAAGTCCACAGGCACCTACGTTGACGCAGTTCCCCCTCCTGGGGCGAACATCGTCAGTGGCATGTGGATCTTCAGGGTGAAGCGACCGCCGGGCTCTCCACCTGTCTTCAAGGCACGGTACGTTGCTCGTGGCTTCAGTCAGCGGCAGGGAGTTGACTACTTTCAGACCTTCTCTCCCACCCCGAAGATGACCACTCTTCGGGTGCTGCTGCACATAGCCGCTCAGCGCGACTACGAGCTTCACTCTCTCGACTTCAGCACTGCGTTCCTGCAGGGTAGCCTGCACGAGGAGATCTGGCTGCGCCGTCCGCCTGGCTTCACTGGGACTTTCCCTCCTGGCACCCAGTGGAGCCTCCGACGGCCAGTCTACGGTCTCCGCCAGGCACCGCGTGAGTGGCACGACACACTGAGGACTACGCTTGCGGCTCTTGGGTTTGCTCCTTCTACTGCTGACCCGTCGCTGTTTCTTCGCACCGACGCTTCCCTGCCGCCGTTCTACATCCTCGTGTACGTCGACGACTTGGTCTTTGCCACAGCGGACACTGCTGGACTCGCCTACGTGAAGTCCGAGCTGCTGAAGAGACACACGTGCACAGACCTGGGTGAACTGCGCAGCTACCTTGGCTTGCAGATCACTCGGGATAGAGCACGCCGCACCATCACCTTGACTCAGTCACACATGGTGCAGCAGGTCCTTCAGCGCTTCGGCTTCACGTACTCCTCGCCTCAGGCCACTCCTCTGCCTACTCGCCACTCACTCTCAGCTCTGCCTTTGGATGAGTCCGTAGAGTCGAGTGGTCCGTATGCAGAGCTTGTTGGCTGCCTCATGTACCTGATGACCTGCACACGACCCGACCTCGCATACCCTCTGAGCATCCTTGCACGCTATGTTGCTCCTGGGAGACACCGACCAGAGCACATGGCTGCAGCGAAGAGGGTATTGCGCTACCTGTGCAGTACGTCAGGCATGGGGCTAGTGCTTGGAGGGCGCAGTCCAGTGGTCCTTACAGGCCACGCGGACGCTTCTTGGGCTGACGACTAGGCTACGCAGCGGTCGTCACAGGGTTACACCTTCAGCCTTGGTTCTGGCTCTGTCTCGTGGCGGTCTACTCGCTCGTCTTCGGTTCTCGGCTCCAGTTGTGAGGCTGAGATCTACGCCGGGGCCATGGCTGCACAGGAGCTTCGCTGGCTCACCTACCTGCTGACTGACCTTGGAGAGCCGCCTCGTTCTCCTCCAGTGCTGTACGTAGACAACAAGGCCATGCTGGCCTTGTGTCGAGAGCAGCGCTTGGAGCACAGAACGAAGCACATTGCTCTCCGCTACTTCCTTGCTCGTGAGCTGCAGCAGCGTGGTCAGTTGCGACTTGCGTACGTGGCCTCTGAGGCCAACACTGCTGATGTGTTCACCAAGGCACTCGCGCCTTGTGACCATCAGCGCTTTTGCACCCAGCTGGGTCTTGTGCCTGTCTTGCCTCACTTGCTCTCCTCTTGACTTCACTTGTACTGTGACATATATATATACCTGCTCTTGCTTGTCTAGTTTTATATATATGTCTGTACTCCTGCATGTGAACTGGCCTCTGGCCCTGCTCTTGTGCTCGGACTGTGTGGTGACTTTGTGATCCACCCCGAGCTTGCTTTGCTTTGCTTGACTGGTCTTGTGACCTCTTGTTTTCCCCCACTTTGCCTATGGGGGTGTGTCAGAACATATAGCTTACCTGTTTGTGTAGGCTACAGTGGGGTATCCCATAAGGGGTACAACACAATTAGGTTTCCCTTTTGTACCAATTCCTGACTCAGTCATTTCATTCCTGTTTACCTATCTTCACATTCGCCACCCCACGGGAATCAGGAGGATTGAATTCCTCATTCGCTGGAAGGACCGCACGCCAACTGAAGATAGCTGGGTGCCCCTGGCCAACATTGAAAACCACCCTGCCCTGCAAGTGTACCTGAGGAGCCGGGGATTCCGCGATATACACGCACTCGCGTAGCGGAGGGGGCTTCTTGAGGGGGGGGGGGGATAGTGTAAGGAATTTTCTTGGCATTCCTTACGGAGCCCGACTACATCGCGTACAGCAACAGCCGTTGTTCGCCCGTTACTGCTAACGGGACTTCGCCAACTTCGCACGCACTGTTTTGCCAAACCTCGCACTGCTGGCCCGGCCGTGTCGGCCTACGCTTCAGGACTAGCCCGAGCCTCGCTACTAGTATAGCACTAGCTAGCTCGCACGCACCGCATTACCATTTTCATGTTTCGCGTATAATGTTTGCTCATGCCTTCGCTCACATCTTTGTACTCGTTTGACACCTTAGGGCGCGTAACCATTTTGCACCCGACGGAACGAACCGTGGACCGTCCGTCGTGGCGAATAGTTACTATTTTCGTTTAATGTCGTTCAGTTCTTCGTGAGGAAGTTTGCGACGTCGCTAAAATTTCGAACTGTCATGACACTTTTTCCGCTTTCCAACGACACGAAACTCTGACATCGGACTGTCCGAATCACAAACGGACTGTCCGTCTGTCCGCGCACGCGATTGGCGGGCGAAATTGGATTTCAGCGAACCGCCTCGCCAAAACATGAAAAAATGCGACTCGGATGCAAAGATTGACATTGACCAATCCTAACTAGCCATACTACAATACAAGAAGCCACGACATTGACCCACTTCTCATCACTACTCACTTCTCTGCACAATGGATCCCTCTAGCTACGCCCAGAACACCCAGTCTGACAACACTTCTCCCAACTCCCCACCACCGGGCTCTACCAATACTACCACTCCTGCCACAGCTGTTCCCGAAACACAAGAGTCCCGGATACCTGGTCCTTCTGGCATTGAATGGGCTTGGTTTGGATGGCCTTTGTGCTTGTTTGACATTTCCTATGTTTGTCAGAAGCGCTGAACTCAACTGGCGAAAATTGCGATGGGTTGTGACTGGCGTTACTGGTGTACATTTGAGATGGCGAAGGGAAAACCATCGCGAAACCCTAGCATGTGGAAAAAGTGTCACATCTGCCTTCGGACAGTCCGAAGTTGCAAACATTCAAATCGGACAGTCCGTTTCGTTATAAACGTACAGTCCGATTCCATATAATCAGACGGTACGTCAAAATCTAAAAATGCAAAATGGTTACGCGCCCTTAGTGCAATTCTCGCTACTTCGATTCATTGCACCCTAACACAGAGCCGCCAACTACTGGAGACGCCAACACCGCTGCCAACCTTTTCCCGCGCGATTACCAAAAACCATTCTCTGGGTTGCAGCTGCGTTTCAGCGCCCTCCACACTCATCATGCTCTTTCATCCCTGCTCTCACTGCTATCCTGCCTGCCATAACCGTAGTTTTACAAGCTCGCGTTGCTTCAAGGGTGTCCGCCAGACACTCTTGAAATGTGTAGCTGAACTTTAGCTGCGAGTTGCCCAAGTGCATTGTCGGCGAGCATTCTTGATTTATTCGCAATGCCTGCCGCCGCAAGGCACGTCGTTTCCCCCGCAATGTCGTGTCGTATCCAGCCATCTGTGACTGACGCGGTGCGAGATTGTCACTATCGAAGTCACATCCACGTGTCGTCGTCCGTGTTGCACGAAATGACGTCCTTTCGAAGCGCAGTGCGCTCTGCTGACGTGGCGCATTTCGTGGTCAGAAGACCACTTCTCGTGCCGAAAAATCTTCCCCATTCCCCTAGCGCGTTTCACCAGCGTCGCAAGACATACAGCGTACGCGTTATAAGGCCCGGATTCGAGGACAACAGCTCAAACGGTACGAGGCGCGCGGACGTACAATGCTGTAGCAACGACGCGGGAGCCAATAAAAGGCGCGACGCGAATGGTGATTTCAGCAGTGACAATAATTTAAGAAGAGGAAATGTTGACAATTGCCGAAGCGACACGAACCACAGCGGAAGAAGCTTCGATACAAGCAAATTCTGCAATGGCCAAGAGCCTGAGCCACGCGCGAACGGCAAAAGCTGGAAGGAGCAGCTGACGTGGCATATGCGGAACTCGACACTGGTGAGTGCTGGTAGAAAGCCAGTCTGGCTACGCGACGTGATATGCGACATTGGTGTGTAATTCCTGGCAACCTGATGATGCTATGTGGTATGATGGCAACCTGATCATGCAATGCGCTGGCAATCTGATGATGAGGCAATGTGGTATCCTGGCAATCGGATCATGCAATTTGTCGATCTGTCCTTCTCTCTCCGCCCTCCCTTCAGGCCCTCGTCCTGCTCTCTGCACCATTCCTCGCAGCCCTCGCGTCCCCCCTCACACCCTGCCCGCTCACACGCCTGCGTCTCGCCCCACCAACGGCCACAGCAGCCACTCTCTCTGCTTCCCCCGCCTCGCAAGAGACCAACCAGGAAGGCTCTTCCTCCCCTGGCTCTGCGGTTGCCGCTGCTGCTTGCACCACCACAGATCATCACAGCAGTGCTAATGCTGCTGGCGCAGCTGGTGCTGCTGATGGTGCTGTTGACACTGGAACCCTCAGCACAACCAGCACCACCACCACCCCTGCCGCTTCTGCTACAGCCACCCCATCCACCCGCCCATCCCCACCGCGAAGGACTGCATCCCTTCCCTTAGCCGCCACATCCCCCAACCTAGCGTCCATGTGGCAGCGCGTGATTGGCTCCACGTCAGAGTGGGTTCCCCGGCCAGTTGAAGGACAATTACGGCTACAGGTGGGACCGCCGGCGCCCCTCTTCACCCTTTCTGAAGCCCAAACCCACGCCAACAACCCTCAGAGCTCTTTGGGGGGCGATCATAGCCCCTCTGATTCATCCTTCAGCGCGCAGGACTGGCAGCAGCAGGGGCCGCGGCGGGGGGAGACGGGTATGGGCGTGCTGCTCTCGCCGGGGGGGCGTGGGGGCGGCTGGTGAGGGAGTGGCGGTGGGCGCGCGTGCAGTACCTGTGGGACGTGCTGCTGGAACGACACCCTATTGTGTGCGTGTCTCTTCCCACCTGGACCTCCCATCCTCTCTCAAAACGTACCTTTGGGACGTGCTGCTGGAACGACACCCCATTGTGTATGCCCGTTAGGCATTTTGCTCTGCCCGCCCGGAGAGAGCATACCATCGAGTCGTCTTTTAAGTGAGTCGACTCAAAAGTCAACTCGGTGGGCGCGTGGATGTGCAGTACCTCTGGGGCTTGCTGCTGGAACGCCACCCCATCGTGTGCGGACCTCTTTCACCCTTTGCTCTCTTTCCTCCCACCTGGACCTGCCATCCTCTCTCTCAAAATGTACCTCTGGGGCGTGCTGCTGGAGCGCCAACCATATCGTGTGCGTCTCTTATATCTTTTGCTCTGCTCGCTCAGAGACAGCATAGCATTGAGTTGACTTTTGAGTCGACTCAAAAGTCAACTTGGTGGGCATGCGTGCAGTACCTGTGGGATGTGCTCCTGGAACGACGCCCTATTGGGGTGCGTCCCTTGCTACGCCTGGGAGGTGCAGCTGCAGCGACATCCCATCATGTGCGCCCCTCACTCTGCGTTTCCTTGTACACTCACGATTATGCATCTCGTTCCCGTGCGGTGCCCCATCACATGCTTTCTCGTGCCATGCTATGCGATGCCCAACGCCATGCCTCACACCATTCCCCACACCACGCGACTCGCCCGCCATGCCTCATGCCCTGTGTACGCTACCCCTTGCCCCGCTACAGGTACATCATGCTGCTCATGACCATGTGCACAACACTTGTATTCCTCGGCGGCTTCCTCTTCCACACCTTCCGGTAACCACCACCTGCTCTCCACCGCACTGCCCTGGACCCCAGCCAGCTAGTCTTTGATGCTCCCCTCCCCCTGGGCCTGTCTCCCCTCCCACACACAAGCCTCGCGTATTTGCACGTTTCTCTGTCCCTTGACACAACCTTTACGTGTGCGTGAGACAAGCATCAAGCCGTGTGCCTGGCACTGTTGACAGCCTTTTGTTTCTGTAGGATGTGCATAGATCCACGGTCCATAACTTGGCACTGCACCATTGTAGTGCATGCATGCGCGTCCATTACACTGCAATCATCAATTGGAATGCATTGACCACGTTCGCTGCATTGACCGCGCATTGGGCCATGGCATGGCAGGCGGCACAAGAGTCTGGGCGAGGACATGTGGTCCGCCCTCGTGTCATCTAGCTCGCACCCGCACTGCATTTGCGTCCATTGCATGGCACTGCTCTCATGCTGCATTAACCGCATTAAACACATGGGGCCATGGCATGGCAGGCGGCACAAGAGTCTGGGGGAGGACATGTGGGACGCGTGGTCCGCCCTCGTGTCGTCCAGCTCGCACCTCAAGGTACCCCCCCTCCTCTGCCTACCCTCTTCACCCTCTGCCTCCTCTTCCTCTCTCCTCCTCTCCCCCTGTGCACGCATGTGTGTGGCGGTCTCGTCTCGTGTGGCGGTTGAGGTACGGTGGGGTGCGGTGGAGAGGAGCAGGCGGCCGCAGGAGCCGTTTGGGGAGGCGCTGTGGGACGCGTGGGGCAATGTGTGCTCGTCGCGCCAGCACCTCCGGGTACTGCCGCTGCCTCTTACCGCGCTCTTCACCTGCTTCTTAAGGCCATTCTCTCTGCTGCTTCTTAGGACACTCGCTGCTGCCTTGTCTGTTCGTTCGTGTCTTTTCTCTCCCTTACCCTTCTTGACTTGAGGGCGTTAATTGCTGTTTTTTGCCTTTGTGAGAAGCGCGTGACCATGTGTGATCTCAATCTTTCCCCCAGAGTCCTCCTGCTTGCTAGTGCTGCTGGTTGTTACTCCATGCGCCCTAGCCTCAACTGCATGAGACTTACGCAGTGCGAAACGGCATTTATCCACTGCTTGCTTGCTTGCTGCAGGCACTGCTGCCACTGTTGCCTGTGCTGCATTCGCCTCCCCCGTGCATGCTTTTCGTCTTCTCCCCTCCGCCCACATCACCCACCTGTAACCACCTATCCTTCTTCTCCCCTCCCCACTGTTCCCCTCCCCCCCCGTCCCCCTTTCCTCCTGCTCCCCCTCTCCCCTGCGTCTTGTGCTTGTTCATCAACTCGTGGGATGCACCACATGGCAGGAGAGCACGCAGGAGGGGAGGGTGATAGGCATCATGCTCACGCTGGGCGGGCTCTTCTTCTACTCGCTGCTCACCTCCACCATGACCGCACAGTTCAAGGTGCGCCTGCTCTCACGTGCTCTCAACCCGAAACTTAACCCTTCAACCACTAGCACCCCATCCTCCATGGCAGGCGATGTTGTTGCGTCCAGCTCTCCGTTTTTCTCTCACCTCCCCATTTTGAAACCCCTTTTCCTTGCCGTGGCCCACACCAATCTGCTCAGGAGTGCACCTGCTCATGCGCTGGTCTCATCGCAGCTCACCCAGTCCCCTGTCTCCACCCTCTCTCTCCCACCCTCACCATCGCCCTCTCTCTCCCACCCTCACCATCGCCCTCTCTCTCCCACCCTCACCATCGCCCTCTCTCTCCCACCCTCACCATCGCCCTCTCTCTCCCACCCTCACCATCGCCCTCTCTCTCCCACCCTCACCATCACCCTCTCTCTCCCACCCTCACCATCGCCCTCTCTCTCCCACCCTCACCATCGCCCTCTCTCTCCCACCCTCACCATCGCCCTCTCTCTCCCACCCTCACCATCGCCCTCTCTCTCCCACCCTCACCATCGCCCTCTCTCTCCCACCCTCACCATCGCCCTCTCTCTCCCACCCTCACCATCGCCCTCTCTCTCCCACCTTCGCCATCGCCCACCTGCCCTGCTCATCGCCCTTGTAGTCGCTGCTCACCTCCTCCTCCCGAGTCGCTATTCACCTCATCCCGCCCCACCCCCCTGTGAGCAGCTGCGAATGGAGTGGCTGAGGGAAGCGCTCATTCTCTCTGCCCTTGAACTCACCTCCACCTCCCCATTCACTGCTCGCCCCGCCCTCACCCCGCCCCCGCCCTGTGAGCAGCTGCGCATGGAGTGGCTTAGAGAAGGCGCTCACTCGCAGGTGAGAAGGGATCTGTGCTTTCCTTGGAGGTGTGCTGTGCTGTGCTGTGCGGTACTGTGCTGTGCTGTGGTGGTGCTGTGCTGTGCGGTGCTGTGCTGTGCAATGCTGTGCTGTGCGGTGCTGTGCTGTGCTGGCTGGCTGCCTGGAGGGCTGGCAGCACCCAGGCCAGTTAATGTGTTGTGAGTGCAACGTCAACCACTGACCCCTCCCCTCTGCACCCGCCCCTCCCCTCTGCACCCGCCCCTCCCCTCTGCACCTCGCCCCTCCCCTCTGCACCTCGCCCCTTCCCTCTGCACCCGCCCCTCCCCTCTGCACCTCGCCCCTTCCCTCTGCACCCGCCCCTCCCCTCTGCACCTCGCCCCTCCCCTCTGCACCTCGCCCCTTCCCTCTGCACCTCGCCCCTCCCCTCTGCACCTCGCCCCTTCCCTCTGCACCTCGCCCCTTCCCTCTGCACCTCGCCCCTCCCCTCTGCACCTCGCCCCTTCCGTGCGCTTCTCACGCCCCATCTCGCCCCCGTCTCTCCCCCACTAGGTGATGGAGCGAGATCACATAGTGATCCAGGGAATCAACAACCGCCTCGCCACGCTGCTCAGTCCTCATTTACTCACGCTCATCCCCTCCCTTGTTCTCCCCCACCAGGTGATGGAGCGAGATCACATAGTGATCGGGGGAATCAACAACCGCCTCGCCACGCTGCTCAGTCCTCATTTACTCACGCTCATCCTCTCCCTTGTTCTCCCCCACCAGGTGATGGAGCGCGATCACATAGTGATCGGGGGAATTAACAACCGCCTCGCCACACTACTGCGGCAGCTCAGCAAGAGCCAGCACTTTGCCGTGCAGGACGGCTCTGCAGTCACCAGGTGGGCAGGGGAGAAGTTCTTGTGGTGCTGATGCTGTGGTTGTGCTGCTGGAGAGTCCACCCTCCCAAGTGTTTGCTTAGCGAGAGTCAGCGGCAGGGCAGTCGCGAGCAGCAGGGTTGCCATGCCATGGTTGCGCCGCATGCCATGGTTGCGCCGCATGCCATGCCATTACCACTACCATAACCATTACCGTTACCATTACCATTATCATTACAAGTACCATTGCCATTACCATTACCATTACTATTACCATTACCACTACTATTACCATCACCATTTCCATTACCATTACCACTACCATTACCATCACCACTACCATTACCATTACCACTATCATTACTACTACCACTACCATTACCATTACCATTACCATTATCATTACCACTACCATTACCACTACCATTACTATTACCATTACCATTACGACTACCATTACCATTATCATTACCATTACAATTACCATTACCATTACCATTACCATTGCCATTGCCATTGCCATTGCCATTGCCATTGCCATAACCATTACTATTACTATTAACATTACCATTACCATTGAAATTACCATTACCATTACCATTATCACAACCACTACAATTACCATTATCATTATGATTACCATTACCACTACCACTACCACTACCATTACCATTACCATTATGACTACCATTACCATTACAATTACCATTACCATTACCATTACCATCACCATTACCATTATCACTACCACTACCATGCATCTTCGCCTCACATTGCACCACCCGCCCCACAGTGCCGTACGGCCCCTCCTCTCCCATAGACGATGGCGGCTGCTGTCATGCCAAAGCACTGCCGCTGCCTGCTCCCTCGCCCATGTGCACTTCTTGCTGCTCCTCTTCGCCCCACCACCTCTAAAATCTGCCTCTCTTTCAAACGCACCACCGCCCTTCTGCTCCCTCCCATCCCCCGCACCCACCCTTCCCCAGGAAGCGCACGGTGCTGCTGCTGACGGAGTTACCGCGCAAGGAGACGGAGAAGATAGTGTCGCCTTACCTCAAGGACTGCCACCACATCAACCTCTTCATCCGCAGGTGCCTCCACACGGCTTTTGCCACACACTACCCTTTTGCCACACACTACCCTTTTGCCACACACTACCCTTTTGCCACACACTACCCTTTTGCCACACACTACCCTTTTGCCACACACTACCCTTTTGCCACACACTACCCTTTTGCCACACACTACCCTTTTGCCACACACTACCCTTTTGCCACACACTACCCTTTTGCCACACACTACCCTTTTGCCACACACTACCCTTTTGCCACACACTACCCTTTTGCCACACACTACCCTTTTGCCACACACTACCCTTTTGCCACACACTACCCTTTTGCCACACACTACCCTTTTGCCACACACTACCCTTTTGCCACACACTACCCTTTTGCCACACACTACCCTTTTGCCACACACTACCCTTTTGCCATGCCGATTCCAGGCCAAGCCCACACTTCATAACCTCTGCCACTCGCCTCTTATCTCTCTCCACCGCTTGCCACCCCTCCTTCATCTTTGCATGCTCGAGATGGTCCTCTGACCGGCACATCATATCTGGTGATCATCATCATCCATTCCCCATACTGCCCCCTTCATTTTCTGCCATCTCCTCTCCCCTTTCTCTTTCCCCCTCTCCCCTATTCCCACTTCTCCCTCCATCGTCCCTCTGCTCCGCATCACTGCAGCGGCCCTCTCAGCAGCACCGCGTCGTTCAAGAAGGTGGCGGCAGACAGGGCGCGCTCAGTCATTCTCCTGGCGCCCAAGGACGACTAGTGAGTGCCCTGCTCAGTCATTCTCCTGGCGCCCAAGGACGACTAGTGAGTGCCCTGCTCAGTCATTCTCCTGGCGCCCAAGGACGACTAGTGAGTGCCCTGCTCAGTCATTCTCCTGGCGCCCAAGGACGACTAGTGAGTGCCCTGCTCAGTCATTCTCCTGGCGCCCAAGGACGACTAGTGAGTGCCCTGCTTCCTGCTGCGCGCACACCCCCTTCTAGCATTGCAGCAGCACGGCTTCTGAGGCGCCTCAAAAGCCCCCCTGCTGGAGCTGCAGCAGCATGCGTGCATGTCCCAGCAGCATGCGTGCATGTCCCAGCAGCATGCGTGCATGTCCCAGCAGCATGCGTGCATGTCCCAGCAGCATGCGTGCATGTCCCAGCAGCATGCGTGCATGTTCCAGCATCGTCTCAAGGCTCTACAAGGTGGCGGCCCACACCCTCTTGGCACCTCAACATCATGCATGCATGCTGCTCTCTGCCTCAGAGTCCCAGCACAGTCAGGTTGGCAGCGGTCCTCTCAGCAGCACGGCATCATTCAAGAAGGTCATAACAGACAGGGCGCGCTCAGTGATTCTCCTGGCGCCCAAGGACGACTTGTGAGTTTCAGTCACCGTTTTACTTGCTGCGCGCATACACTCCCTGCTAGCGTCCATCACTGCTCTGTGCCTTTCAGGCGTTGGGCTGCACTGCTCAACGCCTTTCATCCCACCTCTCTCCCCTCTCCTTCCTCTCTTCCAGCTACGAGGCAGATGCAGACATGGTGATGTCGGTGATAGCCCTGAAACCCCTTCTTCGCAGCTCCAACACAGGCATGTTGGTGGAGGTGTCAAAGGGCAGCACAGGGTCGCTGCTGCGGGGCATGGCGGAGGTGCGGGTAGCAGTGATCCATGCCCTTACTCCACGTCTCCTCCCTTTCTTCCTTATTCCTTTTCATCCTCGCCTCTCCCACCACCAGCTACGAGGCAGATGCGGACGTGGTGATGTGAGTCAGCGCCCTCAAGCCCCTCCTAAGGGGCTCCAACAGGGGGGTGGTGGCGGAAGTGAGCAAGGGCAGCACAGGGTCGCTGCTGCGCGGCATGGCAGATGTGCGCGTGAGCGCTGTGGAGAATCTCTCCTCCAATGGGCAGCACTGCTCAACGCCTTTCATCCACCTCCTCTCCCTCCCCTTCCCCTCTTCCAGCTACGAGGCAGACGCAGACGTGGTGATGTCAGTCATAGCTCTTAAACCTTTGCTTCGCGGCTCCAACACAGGAGTAGTTGCAGAGGTATCAAAGGGCAGCACGGGGTCGCTGCTGCGGGGCATGGCGGAGGTGCGCGTGAGTGCCGTGGAGAATCTCTCTGCCAAGCTCTTCGTGCAGTGCTCTAGGCAACCGGGGCTTGTGGATGTGTACTGCAAGCTGCTTGATCATACTGGTGGGTGCGGGTGGAAATACCACACTGGGGGGGATATACAGGAGTGGGGTAGAGGGGTGAAGGGGAGCGCCGTGGAGAATCTCTCCGCCAAGCTCTTCGTGCAGTGCTCCCGACAGCCAGGCATGGTTGATGTGTTCTGCAAACCGCTGGACCACACCGGTGCGTTGGGGATGGGAGGAAGGGGCACCTCTCCACCGCCATGGAGAATCTCTCCGCCAAGCTCTTCGTGCAGTGCTCCCAGCAATTGGGCCTCGTTGATGTCTACTGCAAGCTGCTGGACCACACTGGTGCGTTGGGGATGGTGACAGGGTAGAGGAGGTATGGTATGAAAGGTGGGGGAAAACCAGGGGAGTTGGAGGGGAAGGGGCACCTCTCCACTGCCCTGGAGAATCTCTTCTCCAAGCTCTTTGTGCAGTGCTCCCAGCAACCGGGGCTCATTGATGGGTACTGCAAACTGCTGGACCACACTGGTGCGTTGGGGTTGGGCGGGGACCACACAGGTTACAGGGCATGGGGTAGGGTGTGAAGGGGAGTGATCTTCGTGCACGGTAGAGGGCATGGCGGAGGTGCGGGGCACCGCCGTGGAGAATCGCTCCGCCAAGCTCTTCGTGCAGTGCTCCCGGCAACCCGGGCTGGTTGATGTGTACTGCAAGCTGCTGGACCACACCGGTGCGTGCGGGTGGAGGGACCACACTGGGTGGGTGGGGGGGGAGTAACAAAGAGTGGGGTAGAGGGGTCAAGGGGAGCGCTGTGGCGAATCTCTCCGCCAAGCTCTTCGTGCAGTGCTCAAGGCAACCCGGGCTCATGGACACAGATGGTAGAGGACGTGTACTGCAAGCTGCTGGACCACACTGGCGGGTATGGGTGAACACAGACGGTAGAGGACGGGTAGGGGGCAGGGAATAGTGCAGGGCATCAAAGAAACGGTAGAGGCTCAAGGACGTGTGTGGTGGATAACAGGAGGGGCCCTGCGCTGCACACTGCAACCCTCCCTGCCCCCTCCCCTCTCGCATCCTCGCACTTTGCTTTTCCCGCTCGCCTCTCCTCTCTCCCCTGCCTTCACTGTCCACCTTCTCTCGTCCCACCACCTCCATCTCCTCCCTCCTCCACCTCCCCTCTCCCCCGCCTCTTTCATGTTCCCATGCATTACCTTTCCCCGCCTCTTTCATCTTCTCATCATTACCTTTCCCCGTCTCCCCTCTGCCCCTCTCCCCCACCTCGCCTCGCCCCCCCAGACGAGGTGATCAACGTGAGAAGCTTCCCCTCACTTGCCGGCCTGCCCTACGGCCTTGTGCGCAGGGGCTTCCCCGAGGTGAGTCATGTGCGCAGGGGCTTCCCAGAGGTGAGTCATGCTGCGTGATCTGATCCATGATGGGATTAAGCGGGGGACAATGTATGCTCCTCTTCATGCTGACGCGTTTGTTTCACATTGTGCAGACAGCAAGGTGCAGCAAGGTGCAGCACGGTGCAGCACGGTCACCTAGGCATGGGCATCTGGCCCGACCCGGCCCGACCCGTCCCGTTTAGGGCGACCCGTTAGCTTAACGGGTCGGGTCGGGTCGGGTTAGCGGGTCGGGTTTGACTCTGTTTTGGTGACCCGACCCGCCCCGTTGGAACGGGTATTTGTGACCCGTAACCGGGTCGGTTACACCACGGGTCGGGTCGGGTCGGATCAAAATATGCTACATAGCAGCAGGGTATGGTGGCGCCTTGGCGCTGCTCCAGGTGGCGTTCGCGATGCTGGAGGTGGGGACCGCGATTCTGGCTGGTGGCGTTCGCGCTACTGCAAGGCCGCTATCGCGCTATTGTGGGGATGCGATCCCGCCAATGCGTGGCCGCGATCGCGCTGCCCTAATGTGGTGCCGCGATCGCGCATATGCAGGGCCGCGATCGCGCTGCGCAAATGCGGGGCCGAGGATCGCGCTATTGCGGGGACACGATCCCGCCAATGCGTGGCCGCGATCCCGCCAATGCGTGGCCGCGATCCCGCCAATGCGTGGCCGCGAGTGCGCTGCTGCGCCCCTGGTCGTGCGACACTGCGTAATGGCAGGAGCGCCTATGCCTATAATGAATATAAATATTAAAATAGTGCTAACATTGAAGTGAAGACTGTAAGAGTTTTGGTAGGTGCAGTGGAGATTTACTAACTTGATTAGAGACTGGATCTGAATGTCGAGGGAAACAAAACATCAGAACCAACTGATGTTCTCCCCCTCTCCAAATTGTACCCTAAGCAGAGAACGGGTCGGGTAACCCTGTCATTTGACTGGGTATGCGACCCGGACGGGACGGGTCAACCCGACCCGGCGGGTCGCTGATACCCGTCTATAAGTCACATTGACGGGTCACGGGTCGACCCGACCCGCCCGGGTAAAACCCGACCCGACCCGGACGGGTCGACATTCTCAGCATTCCTGACCCGACCCGCCATTTTAGGCGGGTCGGGTCGGGTAACCCGACCTGTCCGGGCCAAATGCCCATCCCTACGGTCACCTGTGATCACCTGCCATACCACCATCCCCATCCCTCTCTCTGCCTCCGACCTACCGAACCTTCACCTGAGCAGGCGGTGTGCTGTGGCATAGTGAGGGACGGCAAGGTGCAGTTCCACCCCAAGGACTCCGAGCCGGTGCAGCGCACTGATAAGGTGTGATGAGCGGTGGGATGCAGTGAGAGGAATATTAGAACTTGAAGGCTGCGGCATAGTGAGGGACGGCAAGGTGCAGTTCCACCCCAAGGACTCCGAGCCGGTGCAGCGCACCGATAAGGTGTGATGAGCGGTGGGATGCGGTTAGTGCGCTATCAGAACCTGAGCTGGAAAATATCGATTAGATAACCGAGTTATAAGGTCTGAAGTGGTTCAATAATGGGCTTAGTGGCGGCGCATGTGCTTGAGAGGTACCAGCATCATCCTTCCTCCTGATTGTAGCATCCCACTAGATGATGCTGGTAGCTCTCAAGCACACACACCGCCACCCTCTCTCCAGTGCTCATGATGCAAGCAGCACAGATAAGGCAGAAGCAGGAGAATAGCAGAGAGGGGGGGGCACCGGTCTCACTCTCCCTCTTCCCCCTCCCTTCCCCTCCACATCCCACCACCAGTTGATGCTGATAGCGCTCAAGCACACGCACCGCCATCCCCACACCAGCGCTCATGATGCAAGCAGCGCAGATCAGGCAGAAGCAGGAGATCAGCCGAGGGGGGCGGGAGGGGCGCGGGGGCGGTTCGAGTGAGGGGATGGTGCGGGTGCACAGGGACTCGGCGCTAAAGACAAGAGATGCCGGCCAGTTCAAGGTGAGGAGAGGAGGGTGTGCTTGTTCATTCATCACGCCTCACATGTAACCCACCTGTTACCCACCTGTAACCCACCTGTTATCCACGTGATTCACCTGTTACCCACCTGTAACCCACCTGTTATCCACATGTAGCCCACCTGTTACCCACCTGTAACCCACCTGTAACCCACCTGTAACCCACCTGTAACCCACCTGTTACCCACCTGTAACTCACGTCTGAACATACAGGCGTGACTCGCTTGTGACTCCCACCCCACCAACAACCCTCTTCCCCTTTCTGCAGCCCAACGAGCCGGCAGCGAGGGCGGAGCGAATGGTGATGCTGGGGTGGCGCACGGGCGTGCCGGACATGATCCGCGAGTTTGACGACTACGTGGGGCCGGGCAGCGAGCTGGTCATTCTGGCGGAGGAGAGCTTGGAGGAGCGGGAGAGGCAGCTTGCAAGGATGCTCAGGACGCCTCTTCGAAACCTGACAGTCGTGCACAAGGTGCGTGCTGCTGTACAACGTAGGGCATGTGTCGGCACCGGGCAGCGAGCTGGTCATTCTGGCGGAGGAGAGCCTGGAGGAGAGGGAGAGGCAGCTTGTGAGAATGCTCAGGACGCCCCTTCGAAACCTCACCGTGGTGCACAAGGTGCGTACTGGCAGCATTAGCACAGACAGAGGTGAGCGCTGAGTGAGGCGGGCAGCGAGTTGGTCATACTGGTGGAGGAGAGGGAGAGGCAGCTTGCCCGCATGCTCAGGACACCTTTGAGGAACCTCACAGTGGTGCATAAGGTGGGCAGCGCCATAACCGGCATGAGCACGGGGGTGGGGATATGTGTGAGCAGCGGGCAGCGAGTTGGTCATTCTGGCAGAGGAGAGACTGGAGGAGCGCGAGAGGCAGCTCGCGAGAATGCTGCGCACGCCCCTCAGGGACCTCACCGTGGTGCACAAGATGCGTGCTGGCAGTCAGGTTGCCAGGATGCTCAGGACGCCCCTTCGAACCTGACAGTCGTGCACAAGGTGCGTGCCAACATAGGCACAGATAGAGGTGAGCACTGAGTGGGGCCGGGCAGCGAGTTGGTCATTCTGGCGGAGGAGAGCCTTGAGGAGCGCAAGAGGCAGCCCGCCCGCATGCTGCGCACGCCCCTCAGGGACCTCACGGTGGTGCACAAGGTGCGTATTGCCATACCAGCATTATCACAGCGGAGAGCATGTGTGAGCAGCGGGCAGCGAGTTGGTCATTCTGGCGGAGGAGAGCTTGGAGGAGAGGGAGAGGCAGCTTGCCCGCATGCTGCGCACGCCCCTTCGAAACCTGACCGTCGTGCACAAGGTGCGTACCAACATCGGCACAGACAGAGGTGCGCACTGAGTGGGGCCGGGTAGCGAGTTGGTCATTCTGGCGGAGGAGAGCCTTGAGGAGAGGGAGAGGCAGCTCGCGAGAATGCTCCAGACGCCCCTCAGGAATCTTACTGTCGTGCACAAGGTGCGTACCGGCGTCAGCACACACACAGGGGTGATGAGCATGTGTAAGCAGCGTGCAGTGGCCATGTGCTGGCTTCTGGTCGGTAACCATCGAATCACATGGCGAGTTTGACGACTATGTGGGGCCGGGCAGCGAGTTGGTCATTCTGGCGGAGCGGGAGCGGCAGCTCGCAAGGATGCTGCACCACGCCCCTGAGGAACCTCACAGTGGTGCACAAGGTGTTTACTGCCCTATTGGTAACCGGCATTATCACAGCGGAGAGCATGTGTGAGCAGCGGGCAGCGAGTGGTCCATTCTGGCGGAGGAGAGCTTGGAGGAGAGGGAGAGGCAGCTCGCTCACATGCTCAGGGTGCCCCTCAGGAATGTTACAGTGGTGCACAAGGTGTGTGCTGGCAGCGCTGGGCCAGGTCTGCAAGCACGCGCCTTGGCATGCACGCATGCGTGCATAGGTCAGCAGAAAATGAGGGATGTGAAGATGCTGCATGGGGGGTTTGAAAGAGAGACATTACTCCACTCCTTTGTGTTGGCGGACGAGATTGCTGAGGCGTTCGCATGCTCAGGACGCCCCTCAGGAACCTCCGGAGAGCCTGGAGAAGCATGCTCGCACACACGCTCAGAGCGCCCCTCTGAATGAGTGCGAGCCTCGCGGTCGTGCACAAGGTGGGTGCAAAGAGGTGATGCATGATGGGTGGTGAATGAGTTGCAGTGTCACCTGTGAGAATTCTCAAAAGTCAACTGATGCGCTGCATGGTGTATGCCAGCCCATGAGCCGTATGGACCTGATCGACCGACCGACCGACAGACAGACAGACAGACAGACAGACAGACAGACAGACAGACAGACAGACAGACAGACAGACAGACAGACAGACAGACAGACAGACAGACGTTATCCTGGATTCAAGCAGCATGCTCCGCCCCTCTGTGTCCGCTGGGGGGTGTTGCGACGTCTCACTCGAATGATGCTCACTCACACCTTCATTCCCCATGCCACTTGTGTTCCCACCCACCAGAATGGCCACCAGATGGGCACCAGATGGGCACCAGATGGGCACCAGATGGGCACCCCAATGAGTCGCCCGGACCTCACACATGCCATTCTGGACCCGGCCACTGTCTTGCCACCCCTTTGTGTCCGCCGGGGGTGGGGGTGGGGTGGGGGGGGGGGGGGGGGAGGGGGGGTGAGCTCTCGCTTTAGTGTGACACTCACTCACGCACTCAATCTCCGTCCTTGTGCCCTGCAGGTGGGCAACCCCATGAGCCGCACGGACCTCACAGACGCCATCCTAGATCCCGGCAGTGTGTTCCACCCCTTTGTGTCCGCCGGGGGAGACATGTTTTTTGACAACGTGCCCTTCTCCATCATCGTTGTTTCGGATCGCTCCTGGCACCACGGAGGTGTGTTCTAGGCTATTAGGCCCTCTACATGCTTGAATGTCTAGGTGCTTTGTGTCCGCCGGGGGAGCATGTTTTTTGACAACGTGCCCTCTCCATCATTCTCGTCTCTGACCACGTCCTGGCACCACGGCGCTGCGTGCGTGGGTGTGTGGGTGTGTGTGGGAGTGTGGGAGTGTGTGTTCGTGATGGTCTGTTGGGCCTTGTGGGCTTGAATTGTAGGCACCATGCATGGATGGGGGGTGGCGTGTTCAACATCTTCCCTTCAACAACCACATGCACCATCCCCTCTTCCCTTCAACAACCACATGCACCATCCCCTCTTCCCTTCAACAACCACATGCACCATCCCCTCTTCCCTTCAACAACCACATGCACCATCCCCTCTTCCCTTCAACAACCACATGCACCATCCCCTCTCCCCTGCCCTCCGCCCCTCTCCCATGCACAAACAGAGCGCACCAAGCCCGACAAGCAGTCGCTGTACTCGCTGCTGCTAGCAGAGTCGATGTACGAACATGGGCATGCATCCCCTATCATCCCAATGCCTCCGACAACCCCCGTATCACCACCCCCTCCCCCCCGTCACATTCACCACCAGAGCGCACCAAGCCGGACAAGCAGTCGCTGTACTCGCTGCTACTGGCAGAGTCGGTGTGCCGTGCCAACAAGATCAAGGTGCTTCTTCCGAGTGGGGTTGCTGTGTGCTCAGGGGGAAATATTTGCCTGCGAACGAAGTTGGAAAAACGATTGCATGAGAATTGGTGCTGGTGGTTGTGAAGCGGGCTCCTGGCGGTTTGCTAGGGGGGTTTGGTGGCTTTAAAGGGGGCCCAGTGGTTTGCGGGTGGGCCTGGCTGCATGCAAGAAAGGGCTTACTGCATCACATCCGAAACGGCACTCATCGCACCCTTGTCACACACTCAACACACTGCTGCTGTGCACTCTCACACTCGCCCACTGATTATGGAGTCAACTGGAAAGTCCGCTCTTGCACTCACCTGCTGCCCCCGTCACCTGCCTTGCATCCCATGATCCCACACACACATGCTGTCCCACGCAGGTGCAATCTCTAAACGTGGAGCTGGAGAACAGCCAGCTGGGCAGGGAAGCCTGTTGTGAGATGGCCCCGGCGTCCGTTGCCTCTTGCACTCACCCACTGCCCCCGTCCCCCCATCCTGTCCATCACGCAGGTGCAGTCTCTGAAACGCGGAGCTAGAAGACAACCGCCTGGGGCGCGAGGTGGGTGGTGTGCGGTGGGGTGCGGTATAGAGGGGTTATGAGGACCATCACGCATGATGCAGTCTCTGAACGCGGAGCTAGAGGACAACCGGCCTGGGCGCGAGGTGGGTGGTGGGGGTTGCAGCAGAGGGGGGTAGAAGGATGAGTACGCCACTGCCGGCTTGGTATGAGGGTGGTGCAGGGGAGGGGGATATGGCGAAGGGGGAGACAACCATGTCGGACCGGACCATCTTTCAGTATAAGCCCCATGTTGCCATCATGCCAGCACTTTTGAGTCGACTCAACAGTCATCATGCCAGCACGCCATGGTTCCATCCTGACCCACGATAAGCCATCCCTGACATGCCATCACGCCATGGTTCCATCCTGACCCACGATAAGCCATCCCTGACATGCCAGCACGCCATGGTTCCATCCTGACCCACGATAAGCCATCCCTGACATGCCAGCACGCCATGGTTCCATCCTGACCCACGATAAGCCATCCCTGACATGCCAGCACGCCATGGTTCCATCCTGACCCACGATAAGCCATCCCTGACATGCCAGCACGCCATGGTTCCATCCTGACCCACGATAAGCCATCCCTGACATGCCAGCACGCCATGGTTCCATCCTGACCCACGATAAGCCATCCCTGACATGCCAGCACGCCATGGTTCCATCCTGACCCACGATAAGCCATCCCTGACATGCCAGCACGCCATGGTTCCATCCTGACCCACGATAAGCCATCCCTGACATGCCAGCACGCCATGGTTCCATCCTGACCCACGATAAGCCATCCCTGACATGCCAGCACGCCATGGTTCCATCCTGACCCACGATAAGCCATCCCTGACATGCCAGCACGCCATGGTTCCATCCTGACCCACGATAAGCCATCCCTGACATGCCATCACGCCACCATGTCACCATGCCCTAATGCTATCATGCCATCAAACGATCATCATTACCTTATGCCATCAATCATCATGCATCAGTCATCATTACATCATGCCTCTTCTCCCCGTACTCCTCCCAGGTGGTGGGAAGCCATCCATCACTCACCTACATCGGCACGTCTGACAATCACGCCATCATGCCATCATCACGGCAAATGCTCCCAATTCACACGCCCCCATGCGACACCCATGCTCCCTCCGCTTGCCCCTCCCAGGTGGTGGGCAGCCATCCATCACTCACCTACATCGGCACATCTGACCTCATCCCATCATGCCACCATCTTGACCAATGCTCTCATACCACATGCTTCCATCCTCTTCCATCTCCCTCCCTTCGCTCCCCCCAGGTGTGGGCAGCCATCCATCACTCACCTACATCGGCACGTCTGACCTCATGGGGCTAGTTACCTCACAAGGTATGGGTTTTACAGGGCTATTACCCCATGATGTGTGCATGTGATGCCACTCCACTCACGGCATGTGGGCTGGTCATGTCACTCATTGCATGCACGTCCTTGTTCCTAATGCAATGAATTTCAGCTGTGAGTGGATAATGCCCATATGATTCGCATATGATGCTCCGCTGATGCATGCACTAGTGTACCATATCACATGCTCCCCGAATCCTGCCTTACCTACCATCCCCTGACCCTGCACCTCTCTCCCCTCCTCTTCTGCTCTCTTCCAAACTCATCTCTCGCTCTCTCCCCCCATCAATACACCCACCTCACCTTCCCCTCCCCCGCAGTGACGGAGCATGCAGAGCTCATGCCATCTGGACAGAGCTGCTCAAACTCATGGGGAGATGAAACTCTATGTCAAGGTGGGTTGTGACTTTTGAGTCGACTCAAAAGCTGCTCAACTCAATGGGGAGATGAAATCTATGTCAAGGTGGGTGTGGAGCAAAAAGTCTGACAAGATGGGTGAGCAACGAAACGAATGTGTACACATGGCAAGGTGTGGGGGGGCTGAAACGTTCTTGACTTGACTGTGTGTGAAACATCCCGCAAGCAGGACCTGGGGCTGTTAGGGCATGGAACACCGGCTCGGCTCTCACGCGCTGGCCATTCCGTGCATCCATGGCCGACTAAGTACCCCTCGTTGTTCACTAGATTTAAATACCTTCATATGTACTCACCCCCACCCACCAGGATGCGTCCCTGTATGTGAGTCCAGGGGAGAGCTCCACGTTCCATGAGCTGGGACGTCCTTGGGACCAAACTAGATGTGCCCACCCCCACCCAAACCCCCCCCCTCCCACCCACCCCTCGTCCCCTCCACCAGGATGCGTCCCTGTATGTGAGTCCAGGGGAGACCCCAACCTTCAACGAGCTGGCGGAGAGAGCGGTGCAGCGGGGAGAGGTGGCGATCGGGTACCGGTGCGGCGACACCACAGTCATCAACCCGTGCCCCAAGGACGTGCCGCTGTAGTACCCCTCTTCATTAAGTACAAAATCCATGCATTCAACCCCAACTCCCCTATCCACCCCCCCACCCACCAGGATGCGTCCCTGTATGTCAGTCCAGGGAGACCCCGACCTTCAACGAGCTGGCGGAGAGGGCGGTGCAGCGCGGGGAGGTGGCGATCGGGTACCGGTGCGGCGACACCACAGTCATCAACACCGTGCCCCAAGGACGTTCCGCTTGAGTTTGGCCCAGAAGACAGCCTCGTGCTCATTTCTGAGTACGGCTAATTTATTTGTAGGAGTTTTGGGGTCTTAATGCGGCATGTATTTAGGTTTGCAATGCATCACTTAACCATTTTCTTAACTGAGTTATCTGTTGGCAAAACGTGTAAGTCATTTGATTGTAACATGTTGCGAGGCGTTTGCGCTGGCTTTTCGTTGCCTTCGCTAGTTTCGCAAACCCCTCTACCCCGCGCCCCACTCCTCTTTCCAACTTCACACTTCGCTCCACACCCTACCCTTCACGACAGTCCATCCATACCCGTTCCTCCTGCTGGCCCGTCCGTCCCGCTGGCCCGTCGATACTCGAACGCCTAATTGGTAGTACCAATCCCCGTTATAAGTTGCTTCTCCCAACCGTCGAAGCAACGTATCTTGTTGACCGAAAAGCACACGGTTACAGTCGACGCTGGGTAGCAGTTGATAGATTGAGCGAGCAGGGGAGCAGACGGGCCGAGCGAGCGCGAAAGCTAGCCGAGGGGGAGATAACGCGCGAGGGCGAGAAATTGCAAGAGCCGACAGTGAAGTACACGGGGGAGCAGAACAAGCAGCGCCGATTTTTGAGTCGACCCAAAGATCGACTTATCACGCCGGCAGTGAAGCGCACGGGGGAGCAGAACAAGCTGCGCCAACATGCCGAAATCGAAACGCAATCGATTGGGTACGCACGATAAGTTGCCGCATTTATCCAGATTTCCTTGTTTTTGTTTAAGGGTGGGTCATCGCTGTTTCCGGCATGCTCGGCTAATCGTGTCCTCCTCTTAGAGCGCTTTGCTTTCAGAATCTCCACGTGCGCAGCGCAACTGCGCGCCGAGTTCCCCCCTCTCTCTCCTCCTCCCGCGCGCCTCCCCCCTTCTGGTCCGGCCGTCGCAGTGACTCTATCGTCCCTCCCTCGCACCGTCCCCCTCTCCCGTCCCATGCCCCGCGCGCAGTGACTCTATCGCGCGTGACTAAGAAGGGGCGCGAGCAGAAGGAGTCGCTAGTGGAGGCGGTGGTGACTCTAACGAGACGACTCAATCTCAAGCTGCTTTGCTACCCTCCCCTCCCTTCACTTACCCTCTCCCGCAGTGACTCTATCGCGCGTGACTAAGAAGGGGCGCGAGCAGAAGGAGTCGCTAGTGGAGGCGGTGGTGACTCTAACGAGACGACTCAATCTCAAGCTGCTTTGCTACCCTCCCCTCCCTTCACTTACCCTCTCCCGCAGTGACTCTATCGCGCGTGACTAAGAAGGGGCGCGAGCAGAAGGAGTCGCTAGTGGAGGCGGTGCGAGCGGCGGTGGAGGAGTATTCAGACGTATACGTGTTTGAATTTGACAACATGCGCAACACCAAGCTCAAGGAGCTCAGGGATGAGCTCAAGGGCGTGTGCAGGTAGGCGGCTAGCCCAAAACCCCCGAACCCTTAAAACCCCCGAGTCGTTACTTACCCTGTGTGGGCAGTGGATGAGCAGCAGCGGCGGTGGAGGAGTATTCAGACGTGTATGTGCTTGAATTTGACAACATGCGCAACACCAAGCTTAAGGAGCTCAGGGACGAGCTGAAAGGCGTCTGCCGGAAAGAGATGAGCATCCTAAACCGAAACCTTGAGCGGGCAATGGATGGGCGGCGGTGGATGAGGAGCATTCGGACGTGTATGTCTTTGATTTCGACAACATGCGCAACACCAAGCTCAAGGAGCTCAGGGATGAGCTCAAGGGCGTGTGCAGGTAGGCGGCTAGCCCCAAAACCCCCGAACCCTTAAAACCCCCGAGTCGTTACTTACCCTGTGTGGGCAGTGGATGAGCAGCAGCGGTGGTGGAAGAGTATTCGGACGTGTATGTGTTTGAGTTTAATAACATGCGCAACACCAAGCTCAAGGAGCTCAGAGACGAGCTTAAGGGCGTGTGCAGGTAATCCCTAAACCCCGAACCCTGCATCTTTAAGCCCTGATTGGGCAGTAGATGAGCAGCGGTGGAGGAGTATTCGGACGTGTACGTCTTTGACTCCGGCCGCCCGCTTGCGCAACGCCAAGCTCAAGGCGCGCAAGGACGAATCTGCCAGTGCCTGTTTATTCATTCCAGGAACTGTCCATCGTGTCGGACCCTTGAGTTATTTCCAAGGACCCATTCAAGGGGTACCATGACAGCGCAGTGCTTCCAAGTTCCAATGGCATGCGGCTGCAGGGTCGGACGCAATTGAATTGGAACCGTTGCGCTGTCACAGTACTTCTTGAACGGGTCCTTCGAGATAACTGAAGGGTTCAAAGCGATTGGGAGATCCTGGAATCACACAATTCTCGCTGAATTATCACCAACTTGTTGTTTCCCTGCTCCTCCCCACCCGCCTCCACCTGCCTTGCCTGCAGGTTCTTCCTGGGCGCCAACAAGGTGTTGCAGGTGGCGCTACTTCGCTCATCCTCGGCCCTCCCTCCCCTCTCGCCCCTTTTTTTCCTTTCCCCCTCCCCCTGCCCCTCCCCGCCCCCACTTCTTCCCCATTCCCCCTCCGCCTTCCTCTTCAGGTTCTTCCTGGGGGCGAACAAGGTGCTGCAGGTGGCGCTGGGGAGGGACAAGGCCCGGAGCAGAGGGAGGGGCTGCACCGGTGCAGTGAGGTGAGACTGGAGAGGTGAGGGATGCTGTGCGGTGATGAGGGGGGGACAAGGCCACGGAAAGAGGGAGGGGCTGCACCGATATGCAGTGAGGTGAGAAGGGAGGGTGAAGGATGCTGTGCGGTGATGAGGGGTGGGGTGACGGAGGGACAAGGTCACGGAGCAGAGAGGGGGGTTG